AGAATTTTTTATTTCTTAAAATGTTTGTATATTTAAATATTCTCTTTTCTTTTTTTGTATTTATTGTACTGAAAATTTACTTAATACATAAATAATATACAGGGTGAGTCTTAATTTATACGCATAAACTTAAGGAATGATGAGTTGTTGCCAAAAATAACGAATCGTGAAAAAAAAAGTTTTTTAGTTACTGAGATATTGCGTCATAAAAACACTATTCAATCTTTAAATTTTAAATAATAGCAATAAGATTATCATTATTTTGACCAAGCTTGGTATAGTGGTAGATCTGATCTTCCTTAATTTGACATTTCTTAGTAACAATGAAAAAAAATGAGTAAAATGCAAAATAAGTTAAATAAAAGTTGTATTTCCATAAAGAGAAAAAAAGTTTATTTTGCATTTTACTCATTGATCATAACTTTTTTTCATTGTCACCATCGAATGTCGAATTAAGAAGGTCGATACCAAGCTTGGTCAAAATAATGATAATCTTGGTATTAATTTAGCCTTTGTAAAAAAGATTTAATAGAAGATTGCCATTTGAAAAAATAAAAAATTTTGGAGAACTCAAAAACAAACAAAAAATTTGGAAAATTTTATTCTTGAGAATGGTTGCATTTTTATAGTACTTTATCAATTTATCAAAAAATAAATATGTACATATGTAGTTCAATAAAAAACGTTTGGTTTCACACTTTCTGTTCACTTGGTATAAATTATAAAAATAATGGTTTATTTAAGTTCACTCTTGATAGCTAAGTAAATAAAAAATAGAAAAATGAAACAAAAAAAAAATAAAAAAATGACAGAGAAACAGTAACATAATGCGTGGAAACTAATAAGTAAAAAAAATTAAAATAAATAGAAAAAATGAAACAAATATGAATAAACATAAATAATGCACTAAATGTAATAAAAAGTGAAGATGGAAAGAAAACAAAAAAAAGTACCTAATAAATAATTAAAAAATAAATTAGAAATAGAACATTCAATATTTCCAGGTAATAAAATGATTCAGATTTTGCATATTGTTTCAAGTTGCAAAAAACAGCTTACGCAAGCAAAACTGGTCGTGAAAGAGAAATAAATTGTTTTTTTCTCAATGCCATCGTTCCGTCCATAGATCGTCGATTTTAATTCCCAGACATTTGCCACAATGATAACAATATTTACGATAAGACACACAAACACGCGTTTAGTTACAATTTGTGGTGATTTAACAGGAAATTAAAATTCTTCTACTCTGACCCCAAATCTGATTCACTGAAGAAACCTCCAGGTGCAATCAATTATCACAATGAATCATATCCAACACATAGACAAAGATTGTTTTGAAATTTCCGCGAATCGTAACGGTCAAGTCAACGAACTTTTATATTATTTTTGTCATCTTACCTTGAGATTTTTCGATAAAAGTTGTAGAATTCCCCTATCGTTAATCCCTTGTCCTGAGGGCACCACATAGGTGTAAATCGTCTCAATCATCCCTTTAATCGAACTCTGATCATGCGAGACTACACTACTTGCATAATCCTTCAAAGTCGCCTTTTCTAAATCATCCCTATGTTTGACATATTTCTGCATTGTATGGAAGGAATTCCCGACCATGTCGTGGTAGTTTAGGAGGTCGTTGAGTCGCAATTCGAACCGGATTCGCTCTGGAAGATTATTCAACATCATCGAGATCGTATTCGTACCAACGGCGTCCACTTGGGCACTCAATTGACTCAATCGTGTGTTGATGAGGTCGATTTTTGAGAAGAGTTTCCTTTCGGTTTTGTCGAGAAGTGGAAATGGAACCTCGGAGTATTCGACACGACCCTCGATTATGTTCCATGCTTTGGCGATGCCGATCACTATGTCTTTGGCGACGCCGATGATGTCGAGAGCGTCGCCGATAAGGCCGGCAGGGGACGTCGCCGGAACGAGGAGGAAAGTGAAGAGAAATGCAAAGTGGAGACGCATCGCGGGTGATAATTCTTGCACATATGGTGGACTCGAGGGGCCCCACTCCACTGGATGGATAGCAGATGGGTGGGCTCGAGACTCGAGAGGATTTCAGTGGGGGACATGTAAATTGGTGGTTGCCTAAGCTGTTATGTTCTCTCTCTTTTTATCAAATGAAATTGATTATCGATGCATCCTTGTCTTCCTTTCGTAGTTAAATTAATACATTTTTTTTTATTTTTTTTTATTTTTGGACGTTACTAAATTTTGTAGTCAAAATTAATAATAAACAGATTATAAAGTGATGAAAAGTAAGGATGAAAGATATGAATTGGTGGTTGCTTATCTAGACAATCTCTATCTGTTATGATTTTTCTCTCTTTGTCAAATGACATTCCATATCGGTGCATCTTTGTCTCTCTTTCATAATCATCGATTTTCAAATAAAAGTTTGTTTTTTCTATTTTTTTTTAATTTTGGAAGTCTTATCAAATTTTATAGTCAAAACAATAAACAAAAAGTGGGGATAAAATACATGCATTGGTAGTTGCCCACAATCTCTTGTTATATTCTCTCTCTTTTTGTCAAATGATCTTGCATATCGGAGCATCCTTGTCTCCCGTTCGTAATCATATTAATACAAATTTTAAAAATTTAGCTTTTCCATTTTTTTATTTTTTGTAAATTTATTTATTTTGTACTGAATGTTAAAGAGTGCTTTTATCACCTAATATCAGTAGGTAAAGTAGTCTTTTATCGTCTAGTGAAATAAAGTAATTTTTATCTACTGTTTATATTCCACTTTAACCAAGAAATTCTGTTAGGTGAGTACAAAATATAAAATATTATACACGACGATAAAGATTGTTTATCTACTCGTGAAAAAGTCTACTCGTGACTTCGTCACTCGTAAACTTAATCTTTTCCCTCGTAGATAAACAATTTCTTTATCGTCTTGTATAATGAATAACTATTATTAAATTAAAGACTTAAACTTCCTCATTAAAAAACATCAGATTAACCTCACCTCTAATTCTTCTACTTTTATAAAAACTGTTAAAACAACAAATGGGTTTATTTCATGTTGAAATACTATCGGTAGTAGAGCAAATTTCAACATTTTTGTTTGTTTTGTTTCTTTGTTATTTTAACAAATATTTCATATTGTAAAGTAACACGGTAGAGAAAATTTTTATATCTTCACACAACTCCGCTATAAAAATAAAATCTTCTCTACCTTATGATATAATATACTATTTATTAATAATAATTTCAACAGGATACGTATACATACTTGTATTTAGATTACGATTTTGTTATTTCTGCATTAAATATAAAAAACTGGATTTTCAGTAGTGGTACAATAAAGTTTTTTATCAATAGTTTATATTGTAAGTTCATTGATAATCTTTATCTGTCATATTCTCTCTTTTTTGGTTAAATGATATTGCATATCGGTGCAGCCTAGTCTTCCTTTTGTAATCATATTAATACAAATTTAAAAAATTTTGCTTTTTGAATTTTTTTATTTTTTGTTAATTTTTTTATAAAATTAAAGACTTAAACTTTCTCATTAAAAAACATCACAATAACCTCACCTCTAATTCTTCTACTTTTATCAAAACTGTTAAAACAACAAAAGGGTTTATTTCATGTTGAAATACTACCGGTAGTAGAGCAAATTTCAACATTTTTTTCCATTTCTTTTCGTTATTATTTTAACAAATATTTCATATTGTAAAGTTACACGGTAGAGAAAAATCTTATATCCTCGCATTTATTATTTATTATTTAAACAACTCCGCTATAAAAAAAACTTTTTATGATATAATATTCTATTTATTAATAATAATTTCAACAGGATACGTATACATACTTGTATTTAGATTACGATTTTTTTTATTTCTGCATTAAATATCAAAAACTGGGCTTTCAGTAGTGGTACACTAAAGTTTTTTATCAATAGTTTATATTGTAAGTTCATTGATAATCTTTATCTGTTATGTTCTCTCTCTTTTTGTCAACTGATATTGCATATCCCTGCATCCTTGTCTTCCTTTCGAAATCCTATTAAACATATTTCAAATAAAAGTTTTTTATTTTTGTTGTTTATTAAATTTGTAGTCAATAAACAGGATCAGTAATACTGATAACTGATGAAACACTGATAAATCACAATTGTCGTAACCGGGTATTGATAAGATTGGAATAATTTTCACTCCTTCTATTCTAAAAATCAGGCCAACTTGACTTTTCGCAATTACAAAACAAAGGAAAAAACAAATCATTTATTTTTATAACACAACAACAACACAGATACTGTTATCTTATCATCAAATCAGTTTCGTAATCGTCCATTTGGCTTATTTTTTATCAGTAAATGTTGGCTAAAGTCATAGGTGAATATTTTGGGGGCTATAAACCCTCCTGAGCCTTTGCGTCCTCTATGTAAAAGCCCAACCCCGGAAAGTGGTACCGGATTTTTGCTATAGACTTGTTGAGCGTCAAAAAATGGTACCGTGGTTTGAGCTGCATCTTTATACAAATCTGTATTTGTAAAATCGATATATTTTCCGGTTGCGATTAAATTGTGAGGTTCTGTCGTCCGGGTGGGAATATCCGGTGATGATAATTTAACTTCTTGTCCGAATCTGGAATTAGACATTTTTGATTGGGGGAAAGTTAGAGATTGGAGCGTTACTTGTGTCGCAGTTTGAGGTTCGGTGTTCCCTCAAAAATACTCCAGATTTCCGGGTTGGGATGAAGTTTTCCGGTTGTGAAATTAAAGGGTGTTGTTAGTGCTTCTAGATCTAGACGTGCACCAACTCGTCTAAATCTGACTCCGGTTATAACCGATCCTTTTTGCGCCATTAATTCACTAAGTTCGATGCTTCTTTGTTCCCAAGTGATAATATGGTAGTCTTGACCTTCATGAATATATCGATCAGTTGTTTTGTAATCTTCCGGGGGGACCCAGTGGACGGAATCCGGGGCGATTTTTCCTCCTTCCAGGAGTTTACCTTCCTGGATTTGCAAATGGATGATTTTGTTGTGTTTCACAAACCTCAAACCTGTGACAACTCTGAAATTTAACTTATCATTAGTTTTTTTTTTTTTTTAATTTTTTCACCTGTTATCAGTCAAATTTGCCATACTGAGCCTTAAATTAATGTATCTGTCTGAATAATATTTCGGTCCTTCGTCACACAAACAAAAACAATAAGAACATCGCCAAATCACCCAATCAATATATGTGGACAAATCGGTTTTGTAACCTTGGCAAACCTGTTTTTCCCCTAAAACTTGCCCATTTCCCAATTCTACATACTGATACCTTCTGTTATGTTTATTCATTGACTAAAATTATCATTTTAGTATGGAAAAATCAATTTGTGGTACTTACATTCGAACAAACTCTCATTGAAGAATCGAGATATTGACAATTGACAATTTTCGAACATGATGGCTCTTTTTTGCACCAATTATTGTCACGACATTTTTGCGTTTTTGTCATTTTGTAAACATCACATTCGTCACGACATTTTCCTTGAGGGTCGAGATTGACTTTATTGAGGATAAAACCGTGAAGAAAATTTCTTATTTGCACATAAGTTTCACCTAAAAATAGTTGTCATTTTTTTTAAAATATTTTTTTTTAATTGTACCTTCGACGTGTTGGTCGGGATCACATCTCCAAATTTCTCGTGATGAACTCCTCATGTGTTTACTAATTTTGTTAATTAGAGAATTTTGTCGTCGAAAATATTCATTCTGGGCGAGATGGCTTTCTTTAGTGAAATTACCTTTAAAAAATGATAACAATTAATAAGTAGTAAATCCAAAAAAAAGTTTGGTACCTTGTCGATACAGTTTTTTAATAGTGTAAGCTGTTCGTTCTAGATAAAAAGTCTTGAAATTGATTAAAAGAATTTCGATTAGAAATTTGTGGAGAACGTCTTGCGATGATTGGCCTTCCGTACAAAAAAGATTTCCTTTGGGCTGTTTTAAGAATTATTTTTGGTGTTTTTTTTTTTTCTAAATCACTCACCTCGAATTGTTTTTGAAACTGTTTTAAAAAGTCGTCTCTAATTACATGCTCGTAGATTGCTTCCATTAAAAAACGAACTGAATTTGGATTGTTTGATATAACATTATCACAAATGTTGGTAATCGTGGAAGATTCATATTCATCAAAATCTCTCACGTACTTTTCCATTTTATCATAATAATTCATAATAAAACTTTGTTTATTACGAATGTCATTCAAATTCAGTTCTAAACGTATCACTTGTGGGAGATTAATCAACATCTTATTAATCGTATTAAGGTTTTGCTCTTGAATCAAATCGAATTAAAATTATTGTCTATTTACAAAATTTGATACATACCAAAACCATATAGTCTGTCATCGAGTTGTTTAATCCTAAGATTGACGTTGTCCAATATTTCAAACAATTTTTCCTCTTTGGTCTTATATGGCAAGTCAATTAAGTCTGCTTTATCGTTGACTGTGTTAAAAGTTTCGTATAAATTTCTCAATAGTTCGAGAAATTCGGCTGTTATTTCAATGGTTGTAAGTACGAAAGGTTTTGTCGGCTGAAATAACAAAACAAGAATCGCGAAAGATGTCAAAAAACGACACATTTTAAATAATAGTGAATTTCAAACTGCGAGAAGCTAAAATTGAAGCGTTTTATCTACGATTTGATATAATTATTATCAGTTGACTATCAAATTTATCATTAAGCAGGGGGTTTACGCGTGGCTGTATTTTTTCTAGACAAGAGTGTTGTAATTAATAAAAAAGTTAAAATCTAATTAATACAAACGTCCCATATTAAAAAAAAGTTATCTAAAATAGTTAAAATCATTACAGAATGAAGAAATGAATAAATTAAACGTGAAAATGAGACATTTTTTTGACAAAATATTTGCGAATCATATAGTTTGAGTTTTACACGGGGGCGAACGGCTTTGCGGCGTGCAAAAATCTCAACAAAACATTTTCGAATCCGATACCGTATTTAATAAAAACAATAAAATACTGTAAAAATTGTTTAATTAACACAACTACAAATGTTGGCTGAAGTCATAGGTGAATATTTTGGGGGCTATAAACCCGCCGGAACCTCCTCGTCCCTTGTGAAAAAGCCCAACCCCGGAAAGTGGTACCGGATGTTTGCTATAAACTTGCTGAGAGTCGAAAAATGGTACCGTGGTTTGTGCTGCATCTTTATAAAAATCCGTATTTGTAAATTGAATATATTTTCCGGTTGTGAAACGATTGGAAGGTGCCGTCATTCGAGTGGGAACATCCGGTGACGATAATTTGATTTCATTTCCAAATCTGAAATTTTTGAACAAAATTTAACAATTTTTTTGAGATTATCATTTACTTGTGTCTTAGACCGATATTTGGAGCTTCTTCGAAAATACTCGATTTATCCGGATTTTGTTTTAGTTTTCCTGTTGCGAAATTGAAAGGTGTCGTCATGATTTCAAGTTCGAGTCGAGTACCGATTTTTTTAAATCTGACACCTGTTACAACCGAACCGTTTTGTGCCATAATTTCGGTTAATTCCATGCTTCTTTTTTCCCAAGTGATAACATGGTAGTCTTGACCTTCATGAATATATCGATCAGTTATTTTGTAATCTTCCGGGGGGACCCATTGGACGGAATCCGGGGCGATTTTTCCCCCTTCCAGGAGTTTACCTTCCTGGATTTGCAAATGTATGATTTTGTTGTGTTTCACAAACTTTAAACCTGTGACAACTCTGAAATTTAACTTATCACTAGTTTAAAAAAAAAAAATTCACCTGTTATCACTTATGTTTGACATACTGAGCCGTAAATTGATATATCTGTCTGAAAAATATTTCGGCCCTTCGTCACACAAACAGAAGCAATATGAACATTCCCAAACCAACCAGTTTCTATACGTTTCTAAATAAGTTATTTCACCATTGCATATTTTTTTCTCCCCGAAAGTTATTCTGTTACCAAATTCTATGTATTCATATCGTCGGTTGTGTTTTGTCATAATCTAAAGAGAAATTTTTTATAACAAAAAGTCTCATTTATTGTTTTTTTACACTGGAACACACAGTCATCGAAGAATCAATATATTGGCAGTCGATAATTTTAGGACAAGTGACCTGTTTTTCACACCAATTATTCTTTTTGCAATCTTTTGATTTTACCATTTTGAAACTATCGCATTCCTCGCGGCATTGTCCCAGAGAATCTAAATTTGCTTTATTGAGGATAAAACCATGGAGGAAATTGGTAATTTCGACAAAAGTTTCGTCTAAAAAAAACATTAAAAAATATTTCTACCAAAAATTTTGTGAATTACTTTTGATATGTTTGGAAGGGTCACATCTCCACAATTCTCTTGATGCCTCCCTCATGTTTTGTTTAAAAATCTTTGTGATGTTGTAAGACCTTGATAAAAATTCGTTATAACTGAATTCAACCTCTTTGGTGTAATTCCCTTCAAGAAAGGATTATTTTTGATTTTTGCTTTGATTTTTTTACCTTGATCGTGGTGTTTTTTGATAATATAAGCCGATTGTTCAAGAACATAACTCTTGAAATTTGTGATTAGAATTTCGTTTAAAAATCGATGAATTGCCTCTTGTTGCGAGTAATTTTCGTTGCAGAAAAGCCTCGTTTTGGGCTATTTGAAACAAGTCAATTTTTTTCATTGTTTTTTACACTTACCTTAAATTGTTTTTGAAATACTTTCAAGAAATCGGCTCTAATAACATTTTTGTAGATTGCTTCCATTAAAAACCGAACTGAATTTAAGCTATTGGATACAGCGCTTTCACAAAATTTAATTAAAGTTGATTTTTTAAATTCGTCGAAATCTCTTACATATTGTTCCAAAAGAAAGAAGTAATAGTCGATGAAGCTTTTTTTGTTTTGGATGTCGTGCGAATTTAATTCTTGTCGCACCTCTTGTGGCAATTTATTTAATAATTTAATAATCGTATTGTGGCTTTTATCTTCAATAATTTTAATCGAAATTTATTAATTTAGGCAATGTTAAAACATACCAAGTCGTTGTTCCATTATTTTTATACCAAAATTGATTCTATCTAATGCCAGGAATAATTTTTCCTCTCTTCTTTTTGTGTCGAATCTTTCGAAATCATAATCTAATTTGGCGAAAATTTCCGACAAGTTTTGTACAATTTCGTCAAATTTCTTTGTTAATTCGGAAACACTCAACGTATTTACAACAACACTAACATGGATTAAAATTATTAAAGTTGCAAAAGTGTAGACAAACATTTTCACTACATGTAATCAAACTGTGAAACTCAAGTTGAATTCCCTTTATCAGTTTAAAGAGGAGAGATAACGGCTATTGCAAATACTGTGTTTACCTGTTTCCGCATTTTGAGTCTTTTATTAATACACAAAAAAGAATTGAATTTTATTGTCAAGGAATACGAAATCACAAACGTTCAAAATAGTTATTTGTATTATAAGGGAGGAAAGTGATTTTTTTCTTCCCACAAATGAAACTACCCAAGGAGGAAAAGACTGTTTTCTCCAGTGTAATTTATATAGGGTGTTAAAAAAAGATGGTAAAATATCTCAGGAGGTAATAGTATGGACCAAAATAAACAAAAAAAAAAATAATACCTATGGGTCCAAAATGTAACGGTTTCGGAGATATTGAAAATTCGTTTTTTGAAACATATTCACACAGAAAAGAGAAGCTTCTAGTAAAAAATTTAACCGTTACTTTGTGGACCTATGTTTAATAAAACTGTTTTGTTTATTTTAGTTCCGAGTATTACCTTCTTAAATATTTTACAATCTTTTTTTTTAACACCCTGTATAATTTTTCCTACGATTCATTAAGAAAAAGTTTAAAACTAACAATTTCTTTTGATATCTCAGTTTCGCCATTATTTTTTTTTATTTATTACTTCCCTGAGAGGTTACATATACAGGATGCAAAGAACTTGCGCCCTCGAGAAGAAAATGTTCTATCTATAAAAATTTCGAAGTTATGAGAGTTTAAATTTTGCACAGATAGAATTTTTTTTTTAATTTTTCCCATATTCCTGGAATTTTAACTTACTTGAAATTTTTCTCTGGGGCGCGAGTTCTGACACATCCTGTATTTTTATTGTAATTTTATTTATTGTACTTTTCTCAACCGTTTTCAGTCTTCAACTGTGGAGAAAATTAAATAATAATAATAAGAAACAAATATAAAAAATATTTCAGTCATTATTTAAGATTAGAAAAATTGTAGTATTAAACTCTCCTTCGGCTCGTATCGTAAATGGCTAACTTTCTCACTCGTTGAATAATATACTATTATTTGCTTTCAGGTGGCGTTTTACGAGATTTTGAACGATTTGTGGGTGCGAAACGGCCTCCAAATCAAGGGCCAAGCCATGACTTACATTCAAGGAAATTTCTGTAATTCGATGGTGGACGCCGATTTGTACCTCCTCCAAATCGCATGTACTCGAATGAATTACAACGACTTCATCTCTCTAATAATCGACAAGTAAGTTTACACAATTACTGAAAACCGTTCTGAAAAACTGAATTTTTCAGATTTCACGTGACCGAGTCTCTGAGTCTTGCAGAACGACCCCCACAAAATCCCTATCTTAAACCTGAACACAACAATCGATTGTTGGAGAGTTTCTTGACGTTTTTAGCCACTCTTGTGACAGTCCGGACAAATATTGGTGAGTTTTTGGGTGTTTTGAGTTTTTTCTGATAATATTTTCCAGGATTGTCTGAAACTGAATTGAATCGTCTCGAAATGGCAACACTGCTATGTATGACCGACCGAACGCATTCGCAACTCATGGAACTCATGCCGGAACGTTGCGGTACGTCTCAAACACGCGATTTTGAGACGCTTTTAGCCGAATTGGCCGATTATAAACCGCCGATTTTGGACCCAAGCGGTGGAAATTTACAACAGGGGATGTACTCAGCGAAACCACACGTTTGGGAGAATTTATACGATCCAATTCACGTGTTGTTACGTGCCGTACATCGACGTGATTTCCATACGTCGATGGATCGTTACACGGATTAGTAAGTTGGCTATGAGAAAAACAAATGACATTTTTGTTAATCAATTGTTTTAGTGTCAAAGATGCAAATAAGTTGAAAAGTGGAATAAGTCCGTGGTTACCGTTCCGTGCCCCCACTTGTTGTTCCAAAGCCTACGATGATCCGAGACTGATTCTGAAATCTAGGGTCTTCCATGCCATTATTTTGGTTATTTTACAAAAGGCCGTTCGGGGACAAATACCCGAAGATGTGACCGCTTTAATTATTTTTCTCTTGGATCAAGCTGTAACCATCAGTGAGCGAAAAGACGGCCAGGTAATAATAATAATAATAATAATAATAATAATAGTGACAATATTTAATAACAAAATTTCGTAGGCGGAGCCAAAACTGTTCCACCAATCAAAGCCGTTGAACGACATGAATTTCGACAATTGGTACTCCTCTGATTGCATCTTTGAAAACTTGGCCACTCCTATCTCCAAGATTGTCCTCACCCCTGAGCCAGAAGTCTCACCCATGACCTACAGTTCTGACAGTGACATCGAGTGGGAAAACTCGGAAGTTGATACGGAAATGTCTGATGTCAATCCGGATGGGAATAACATTTTGATGCTTCAAGATTCGACAGGTTGGGACCAATCCGGTACCGATTTAATGGTGTTCGTCCCACAAGACTCCTCCCCCGGTTTTGAACCAGCCAATCCCGTACTAGCTCTCCCTCCGGCGACATCAATGGAGGTGGATACGATGACTGTTGCCGTGACGACACGTTCCCATTCGGAAACGTCTGTACTTCCGGCGATTACGGCCGGAAATGAAGTTGCAAGACCGTGGACCGGAAGTGAGTTGGTACCGTCAACATCGAGCGCCTCGGGTCATAGAAGGCCGTATAGGAGGCGGCCGACTTTAGAAGGGGGCGGGACAACTCCGCCCACTGTTGAATTAAACGAGAGTATAATTTCGTTGTTGTTGAAATTGCATTCGCAATTGTCGGGCGTACCGGATAGTTTTAAAGGGGAGGAGGATGAAGAAGAAGGGCGAGGTTTAATCGGAGATGGACCGTTTTTTATTGGACGTTTATTGAAGAAAATCTCGCGATTGGATGAGGGGTGTCGAAGGTGTGTCCTAGAGACGAGAATAAAACTTTGGCCGAGTCAGGAAGAGAGAGACGAAGCAAAGCGACAGAAAGAAAATCGAGAAAAGGAAGAAAGGCGAAGAAGAGCAAAAGAAAGACAACAAAAATTAATGGCGGAGTTTGCTTCAAAACAAAAACAGTTTATGGAAGCAATGGAAACGGATGATAATGTTTTGAGTGAGTAATGGGAGGAGTTTGTAGGATTTGTATTATTTGATTGGTTGTTTCAGATTCGGATGAGGAGTTGTTTGTGAGTAAGCAGGAATACGATTGTGTGATTTGTAATCAAGCCACGCCCAGTACGGAAGAGAAACCAATGGGATTGGTCGTTTGGATTCAAGCCACTAGTGTTATTGGTCATAGACGGAGACATGGTCAGTCAGTGTTGCCAACTTGTGATGATGAAAGAACATCATTGAGACGAGATGATACGTTGAGTGCCGAGTTTGATCGACGATTGGAAGAATTGAATCAATATTTTGATCCTGTAAGAATTTTATTATTTAGGGCTCTTTGTTAGTGACTTAATTTTTGCAGAAATCTTGGTACTTATCAGTGAATGTCGGATGGGATGGTGGGGTTCATGTTCAGACCTGTGGCCATCATCTTCACTTAGACTGTCTTAATTCGTATTTGCAGACTTTGAGATCGCAACAACGGTAGGTGGCGCTGCTCTTTGACGATTAATTTAGATGTTTATATTTTCAGTGGTGAGTATTTTTGTCCACTTTGTCGCCAATTGGCCAACTCGGTCTTGCCCCTCGCTCCCCAATTGGGCGATTGTGCCCAAATGGTCCGCTCGAATCCTTCCAGTATGTCGCAAATTCTGGACGAATTGAGTGATTTTTTGCGTGAAAATGACCAAAAACCTGTAAGTTTTCTTGGCAAACAAAGTGATAATTAGTAAATTTGACACTTGTAGAGTAATACAAGTATGGCAGAAGCGATAGGAAAAATAATGGAAGTTATGACAAGTAGTACACAATTGAAACCGATGCTTAGATCGAAAAGTGATCGTCCTATACCTCAAAGTCTCTTCCTATTCGTCACATCAATCGCTCGGACCAATCTCGAGACGGAATTGAGTCAAAGAGGCGGTACTTTAGTCATGTCACGTGACCCACCTAATCCCCTCCTACCGAAACGCGATTGTATAGTTCCTCTACTTCATGTACTTTCGGTGCACGCTCGTGTGGCTCGTGTGTTGGCCATGTGGCCGGCGTGGATGACTTTTCAGCAGCTTTGTGGGTTGCCCCCTAAACCCCCAAGTGATACGGCACTGGCGCCGGTCGAAAACGAGGTTCCGCTACTGCTCAGGGACCCCGTGGCGCTTCTGTTACAGTTTATCCTCCTTTTACCGCTGCATCTAGATCAAAGTAGGTGTTTAAGAAATAAATGAAAAAAATACTTAAATTATTGATGTTTCAGATTATTTCATAACGACAGTCCAGATGGTTTATAATTTGCTGTATTACCAAGTGGTGGTGCAGATTTCTTGTGGTTTATCAGGGGCCGAACGTGCCCGAGCCACGGCGGGGGCTAACGAGGGCAAAATATGTACTTTAACCGATGCTTTAGCCCTCATAAATCGGTGTTTGGGGCACACTGCTTTGTATATGGAGGATGATGATGATGATTGTAGTGAAAAACCCCAAGTCAATATGGTGGCTCTTGAGCTTCAAGTGCAAAAATTATGTTTGCCTTATTTACGAATCGCTTCACTTCTCAAGTATCACATTTATCAACAACCTTTGCCCGATGTAAGGGCCCCCGAGACCGAATTTGTTTGTTTAGTGCATTATCTCGAATTGGTTACTGAACAAGTCACGTGGGATTGCAACGCTGCAGCTGCGTTAAATTGGCCAATAGAAACGCAGATGTATGCAGCGTCGCCACAGTCGTGGTGTAATCAATATGCGGTTTTCGTTGCTAAAAGTCAGATAGCAGCACGGTCGTTCCTTGTTGATCAACACATCACGTGGCATCCGCCACGCCTACTTAAACTGCCACGCGAATATGAGAAAATTTTTACTGTGAGTCGCACGAGTTGCATATTTGTTTTTCCTAATTATTTTTTTTTTTTGTAGTATTACCATAAGAGACCGTGTAGTCAATGTCAGTCTGTCCCGCAAGAAACCGGTATTTGTTTAATGTGTGGCACTATTGTTTGTTTGAAACAGTTGTGTTGCAAACAACAGAATATTTGCGAGGCGACTGCGCATGCGTCGGAGTGTGGGGCCGGCACTGGGGTGTTTCTGGTGGTTACATCGACTTATATTATTGTCATAAGGAGGCACAAGGCGTGTCTTTGGGGCTCGTTGTATTTGGATGATTTTGAGGAGGAGGATAGAGATTTGAAGTGAGTTGTGGTTTTTTGTGTTTGAGGTTACAGTTTTGGGTTTCAGGCGCGGGAAACCGTTGTATTTGAGTAAGGAAAGGTACCAACTGTTGGAGCAACAATGGCTGGCCCACCGGTTTGACCACATCGAAAAAACGTGGATACAGCACGGAAATGCTCTTTAATTGTATATTTACGAATTGTGATAATGATAAATGATGTCTTTTTCGAATGTTATGCATATTTTCGTGGTGTTTACTTTTATTCTAGTCTATTTGGTAGGTTGACTAACACAGGGCCTAATTCTTTTTCTTGTTGGGACAGTTCATCAAGATTGATTCAAAATGTAAATATAGAATTACGATAGTATTGTTCACATTAGTGTGGAAGTACTGTATGGCTTGTGATAATCACGTAGGTTTAAGTTGCGATGTGGGTCAGTTCTAATACGTCCATGTCAGTGTCTTCAAATGTGAATTTGTTCATAATAATAATTTATTGAGGTTATTCGCCACGAAAACGTCGCTTGTCTAATTTGAAAATATCTGTAAATGATAAATAAATAACCTTGTACATTGTAGTTTCCTTCACTCACAAAAATTAGTCTTTGCCTCTCCCGAAGTCGTATCCGAGACTCCTCACGCCTTGCATTACGACATTCACCGAAACCCTCACCTCTCCATGACTCAACATTTGAATCACTGAAAAAAAAATACAAAAAAGTGATTTTTTTGGATTTGGGTTAAATACAGTGATTTCCGGCGGTGGTTGCGAGCATTTTCGGTTGCAACAACTCGGGTTGGTACCCGAAAAGCGCCCCCATGTGCCCCAAAAGCGAGCTGGCTTGGGGCTTGGACAAAGCGACGTCCACGCGATGGGCCCCCGGTCGCAGCGGCATGTGCGCCCGTCCGTAGCCCTCCAACTGGACCCCGCGGTACACACTGATCACAATTTGGGGCCCTGCAACCGGAAATAAACACCAAATAAACAGTAATTTTACTCACATCCGTAGATATTTGTCGATTTGAAAGTGATTTCAATCGGGAGGTTGAAAACCACTCTGGCGCCGTTTACAACAACGTTGGCGGTTTGGGAGAGGCCGGCTTCGAGCCCCCCGATTATTTTCCAGTCCGGACCTGTGACAAACTCGTATTTGCAGTGCCAGGAAGATCCCGCGGGGGCTAAAATGTCGAGTGACTCGATTTGGCCGGTTAGGGACACCAGAAATGTGCCCTCCGACATTGTGGGGGCTGTGTTTGTATTGTGGTTACTATGGTTGCCAGTTTGTCGCAGTCATGGTAACAATTGTCAAAGAAAAAAACATTTATTTTTAAAATAAAATGACAGTTGTTTTTCCAATTTTTAAAATCTGAATTAGTTTAATTATCATTTACGAAATTCAAATTTTTGCCAAAAAATCTGAAACAATATCCAGCACCAGGAGTGCTAAAATCACAGAAAAGCCAAAGTATCCAAAATTAAAATAAGAATTTTCGGCAAGAATCATTAAATATCAGAAGTATCAGGATCCAGGCAAGTTTTGTGAAAAAATAAAAAAATATGTATTTTTTTTAATACATAATTATAATTACTAATAATTCAAATAATAAAAGATAAAAGCATATTTGAAAAAGCAAAGTAACTGACAACTTAATTCGGATTTGTTAAGTCATGAATTAAATTTTATTTCGCCTTTTCTAAATCAATTAATAGCACACTAAAATGTGTATGTTCGGTAAAAGTTTCGTGTTTGGACGCATCAAGATGCTATCCCTTAGTCAATCAGATGATAGGATCTTGACGTCATATCTGACGGATGTATAAACAATAAATGTAAAGGGCGCCAAAAATAGTGACGTGAACTGGGTAATTTTGAATTATTTTGTGACGTGGCGAATGGGCGGGATCACGCAGCCTCGAACAAAGGCCTTTTACACCGGAACTGTTACGGAATGGGTTTTTGTGTCATTTTTGGGATCTATTACAATAACGAGTCAGTCTTGGCCAAGCTCCCATAGGAGTTACTTGAATTTTAATAATTGTCCGGATAAATTACTTATTTTCGTGGTTCAGTGAAAATTGTGAAGAAATGGGGGCGTGTTGGGTATTTTCGAGTGCCTAATAGACATTTAGTAGTGCGCGATTTTTAAAATTTCGAGTGCCAATGGGAGAATAAAGAAGACAATCGGGCTACAAGGATCCGGATTAAAGGGTTAGTCAACAATACCTTCAATTTTTTAGGAAAATCATTTAAATCTTATTTAATATTTTCAACTGATTTATTAACACATTGAACTGAGTTTGTATTTCTTTATTTTCATTAGGTCCGTTTACGAAGCAGAGGCGAATTGCTACAAAGGGTAGCAGAAGAAGATGCCATATAAAGGTTAGTGCAATTTATTTTTTTGTTTATTGCCAAGTAAAGTGTGTGAATTTGTGATTTTTTAAATGCAACAATAAGTATTTATTAAACTATGAATAGAAATTAGTCGTGTTTTAGTTAAAATGTATTATTTCTCAAATTCTTTTTTAAAGAAGGCCGCTACCAAGCAATGATTTAAAATTAGAGATTCAAATGCATTGTGTCGATACTAACGAAATTCATTTTAATAACTTAATAATAATTTAAAAAATTTGCGAAATTTAAACAGGATTAGCAGGCAAAGTGGTACTCAAAATTTATACATGAAATTTTGCGGTATTGGGATCACAGGAACGTTCGTATAAAGTTACTTTGGGGTGAAAAAACTAAAACGCAAGATCTGAAAATGGATATTTACTTACATAACTTCACTATAGGTACAGTCCATAACATAAAAATAATTCTAGACAGTAAAAATAAATAATGCGGTACAATTTTTACACGTGATGTAACAATGTACAAAATATGAAGCGTCACAACTGATAGAAAAGTCGAAAAGTAGGCAAGGCCTGTGTCGATGTATGTGAAAAACCGTAACTTAAAAATAAGTTTTTTTGATAAAGATCCCTACATTGACATTTATCGTAAAGTTACATGAAATATTTATTAAATGAGACACTCATTCGAACTTCCAGTCTTATTCCAAGCATCAAATCATGAATCTTTGGCAGTTATTCCCTTAACAATACGATGAATATAATAATAATGTACAAAAAATTGAAACGTGGACGAGGCGGGTGGCAAAGCCACCCCCACAAGCCCCCAATAAACAGCTGTTTGATTATAAAAACTGTGTTTGGTAAAAATTACCCCTAGAAAATCTAAATTTAGACAGCTATTTCACCATTACAAGTTCACATTAATATGTAAAATATTTTTAATTAATTACGCAAATTTCTTCTACCATTAAACTGACTTATTGTGACATTGTACTTAGCACCACCTAGATGGCAGTATCACTAAACCGACTATCCTGACACGGAACATGAGCAAATTTAGTGTGCTTGAATAATTTGTTCCCATTTGGTTGGTATTGTGTGCCACTAAATCGCAAATTTGGCACAAGAAGGGGCAACAAGTATTTACACTGCAAAAAAACGCAAAAATCAAGTCTATTTTATCAATTTCCTGCCTGCATTTCCCATTAGAAAATGAAATTACAACTCGGTAACAGCGTACAATTGGCGCTCGCTTTCGCTATTCGCATAGAGGGCCTCGCTGTGGGCCTGGTCCTGGATCTTGGCCGACCTGAATTGCGAATGGTTGGGTTGCGCACTAGCCCCCCTTTGCAGGGACCTGAATTGCACCCCGGTGTTGTCCTGCCAGGCGCCCCTTTGCAGCGACCGGAAGTTGGCCGGATTGAGGGGCGTCTCCACCGTGGAGGGCACCTTCGGCACCGGGGGCTGCTTGCGCGCCTTCTCGTCGGGGGTTTGCGGCAGAGGGCGGCGCCCCAACGAGCTGAATTTCTGGATGTTGGCGGTGCGCGGCTGCGAGGGGGCCGGCTGTTGGCGCTGTTGCTCGAACTTAAAACCGATGAAGTTTGGGAATTCCTTGCAGGCAGGCCTGAAACCAACCGGTTTTTTTATGTGTTGGGGGACAAGGGGGCTCACCTGTCTCAGTAAAAATCGGAGCTTTCGAGTGTTTTACACTGTTTGCTCAGAGTCGCGTACTTTCCATTATTAGGGCCTGCGAGAGCGGGTTCGTGGTGGTGGGATGGGAGACGGCCGAGGGTGTGACCTCGGAGATGAGACATATGGGCCCCTCGGTGGTGCTCCGGTGGACGCATGTCACACCCATCTCTGTAAACACAAGACGTTGCATTGGACGTATAAGGGGTGCCAACATTGAAAAAAATTCTCTTCTAGCTCTAAACACTGACAAGCTATAGAGTGATTCGCATGCAATTTATTTAACACATCCTGTATTCAGCACATCTCACATCTCCCACAAACGTGAAGCAAAAATAATTTTTTGTTTGTTTGTTTTGTGAGAGAGGGCTAAAAAGGGTGCCCCAGCGAATTGGAAAGTCAATTATTGACCTTTAATTGGTAAAATTTTAAAAGATTTATACAGGGTGTGTCAGAACATGCCCCCAGAGAACAATTTCAAGTAAGATAAGATACCAGGAACATCAAAAAAATGTTTAAAAAATTCTCTGTCAAAAAATTTTGAAATTTGACAGTTTTTTATGTCTATTTAATGATACTGATGATCTTGTGTATATTTTATAATTATTTAGTCAAATGTCAAATTTTTTTGACAGATAGAATTTTTTCCATGACATGGCATTTTTCTCGGGAACGCATTTTCTGTATTTCATTTAAAAAAACATAAGTTCTTCGTGTACCTTTTTTTAGAACACGTTGTATAGTAATAATTTCAAGAGATGCACTAGTTTTTTACCAAATTCTTATAATTTTTTTTTATTTTTGTATGTAAAAGTAAATAATGGACTTTACCAACTCGCTGGATGATCCTGTATATGAAAAGAAAAAAGTCCATTGGACGTATAGTTCGTTTTTTTTTTATAAACAAATGTCAGTCTTGTTAGGTTGGTAGAACCGTCATATAGTAAATTTCATACATTAAAATTGTCAGCACTGGGATTCTCAATGACATTTTGAATATGTCACATGTCACACCTCCGTGGTCGATATACAATGTGACTAAGAAATAAACACACTAATTTTAGCCAGTGATCGATCACCTCAAAACCAACTAAACTGTTATGTATCATTTGTTGATAATGTATATTTTATTTAAAACTAAATAGTTACTATTTACGTTTTTTTTTTTAATTTTTGAAACAAACTTAATCAAACTTATTTTTATTGTTGAAATAATAAATATTGGAATTTAACGCTTGTTTTCCCAAGAAAATTTGTGATCAACTTTACAATGTGTCATTTACAGATAAAAAGATGATTAATTATTTAATAAAAAAATTCAAATAAAATAATAAATAAAATAAAATATAATAGAGTTTCATTTTGTGTGTTTTTGGTGTAACTAGGAAAACGATTTATAATTTTAATTTAATAATTATTGCGTTTTGGAAACAATTATACCAAAAAAAGTGTGGTATTTAATTGTGGTTGAAATTATTGTACTTATTTCTGGGACACATTTTATAAAATAACTTACACAGCTGGTCCAAAAGTCAATGTTTTAGGGTGATACAGAATGGTTTTTTAAACCATTTTGACAATTGTTTATAAACAAGGGGGTTTCAGAACTCGCGTAAAGTAAGATAAGATACCAGGAACGTAGAAAAAATTTACATTTTTCTGCCGCTATTAGAAGAGGAAACAAAACTATTTTTAACGTTATTTGTGGCTTTTATTGGCAAAGTTTTTGTACCTTTATGAAAAAACATACTTATACAACATACGAGTAGAAGACATAAAAAATGTCAAATGTCAAAATGTTGTGACATAAAAAAAAATCATATTCCTGGTATCTTATACTACATACTTGGCATTTTTCCCTGGGATACCCTGAATAGTGTTTTCGTTGAAATTACTGTACTTATTTCTGAGACACGTTGTATAACAAAACTTTCCATTTCTGACAATTGTTTATGAAAAAAATCGAACAATCGGCTAAATAGATGGCAATTGTTGCGTCTACCGGTGCCACTACAGCAATCGATAAATCCCTAGTATTGGTGCCAACTTGGCAACTCGTCTACTGCATACTTCCTTCCGCATTGTTTTTTGTTTAGTCTACACCTTTTTCAAGTGTAATTCAGAAAGCGTAAAATATATTTCAGAAAACGTTAATTGTAATTTAGATTAGTCAATTGTATTTCAGAAAGCATTAATTGTAATTCAGAACCGTAAACTGAATTTCAGAAACCATCAGATGTAATTCAGATTAGTTAATTTAACTTCAAAAAGCGTAAATTGAAATTCAGATTAGTCAATTGTATTTCAGAAAGTGTTTGTTATAATTCAGAGTTTGTCATTTGTAATTGAGAATTCGTCAATTGTAATTCAGAATTCGTTATTTTCATTTAAAAATTACATTACCAAAATTCCTTTGAAAATAAAATATCTTATTTATTTTGTAAAATGGCAAGTTTATGTAATGCTTTAATTCTGAAAATAAAATAAATCGTATTTCTGGATTACATGTAACATGAAATTGAATTTATTTACTGTACTGAATAACATGTTTCTGAATTACAATTATTACTTTATGAAATACAATTGACTAATCTGAATTCCAATTTATGCTTTCTGAAATTAAATTAACTAATCTGAATTACATCTCATGGTTTCTGAAACTCATTTTACTCTTCTGAATTATAATTAACACTTTCTGAAAGACAATTCACTAATCTAAATTTCAATATACGCTTTCTAAAACTAAATTGACTAATCTGAATTACATGTGATGGTTTATAAATTACACTTGAAAAAGGTGTAGTATCTCCGGTAGACAAATGAAAATTTCATGAAAAATTATGTAAGAAAAAAAATGAAAAATGCGTGTACAGTAACGAATCGGCTTCATGCGGGAAAGGGGCTGAGGCATGCGTCCGATTATGCATCAAGGCGGACGTGTAGCTAGGTGGAGGAGTATCAGGGGGGTAAGACGACCCTTGGCTCCGTTGGAGAGTCCTTGCGGCGATTGCTTGACTGGCCTGAGGTGGAGGTAAGTACGGGTCGTTCTCGTTCACTTGATGGTAGTCTTTCCTGAAATTAAATGAAATTTATCTCTTCTGATCTGTTGTTTTGTCATTTACTTGTTTTTAAATATTCAGTTTTGCGTCGCGTGCGGATAACAAACACGATAACAAACCAAACAGAAACGCAAAAGTTGAAATTATCATGTGTGTACGGAAGGGGTTCCCCCACAAATCGATACGTTGCTGTTTTGTGAAATGGTTCATTTTGTGGGAGTTTTGCCAATCCTTTATCCCGTAATTTTGTCTTCAAAGATACGTGAAACAGGTGCAGGCATTAATATTGTAAAACTAAATAAATAAAAATGTAACGGATTTCTACTGAAATACGAAAAAAACAAAATTATTATCGTTTCTTCTTCTATCAATTTATTGTTATTTTATTAGTATTAACATTTTAAGATTTTTCGACTAATTACTTGGCGCTTGCTTCATATAATTCGTATAGTTTTGTGTTTTTCTTCTTTTTTTTCTTTTTTCTTCTGTAGTTTTTACAAGGTATCTATTCAAGCACAAATGAGTGCTTGAATGCACTTCTGCAACAAGTGCTTTATACTATTTTTACTATTTTATAAATTAAAAGACGAATTTTTTTTTTTTTTTCTAGAGAATTTTGCGACGGTTGGCGACATTTATGAGGAATAATTTTAGGTGGCTGTTAAAAATAAAAATAATTCTTATTTTCACATTTGAAAATGGATTGTGAAGAAAGTCTGTGACTAAAATTAAATTAACGCCAACGACTTGTTAAAGCACTCAAATGACGTCATTTGGGTGCTGGAATAGACTTATTCTAAACCCAAAATAGAAAAAGTTCATTTTTGAAGTTGAAATTTAAAACGCAGAGACGATTTTATTTTTGACAAATAAGTTTACGCAAATTAAATAATAAAAATGTTTGAGAAAAACAAAAGTTTAATAAATGCCAACTCAAAAAACAACTTTAAGATAAAAAAACAGTCAATTAATTAATTAATTGTCAAAGTGAAGTGAAAAATTGTCAAAAATAAAATAAAACCGCCAATGTGATAGAAAATAAATATTTGTTTCCACTGAGTCAGAATGATAAGGTTTTAATTACAGATTTGTTCGTTTCAGGTTAAAATGTTATTTCTTTGAAATTTTGATGTAAAATCAAAGTTTTCTTTTTTCATTTTGTAAACTCAATCTGTACACATACTGTATAACTAAAATTAGATAATAAATAAAATAAACACAAAAACAATAGTTCAAACAATATTTTTTATTCAAAGTGAATATATAGGGCTGTTTTCTGAAAATTGCGAAAAATGCAACTACTAATTCTACATCGTAAAATAACACTAAAATGTCAAATAAACAATAGTCTTATAAAGCTTCGTTACGGATATACAGGCTGATAAAGTTTCATGATAAAAATTTAAAACCATTAGTTCCTCTAAAATCACTTATTTTCCGTTTCGTTTTTACTCTCATCATTTATTTTTTTTTTCTTTATTTGTTTTATTAGAGTTATTTTTCGTTGCAGAATATGTAGTTGCAATTTTTTACAATACTAAAAAACACCCTGTAGATTCTGAAAAATAACTAGAAAAAAAATAGTAATTTCACGTTAAAAATTAAGTTACCTTTTCTCTTTGCTATTTTTGAATTACTATCACTACAGTTTTCTTAATTTTTTTTGTTTTTTTTCAATGTGCAATTTTTACTTTTAGCCACTTATTTTTTGAATAAATGTTTGTATCGTGCGATCAAAAAAAATCAGAGTAGGGGTTGATCAAAGTCCTTCAGATGATTTTTGACATCAAATGTCAGCGGAAACTTATTTATTTTGAATGAAATAATGTTCACTTTAGAGCAGAAATTTTTTATTGTTTTTATGTTTGTTTTTATTGTTTTTATTATAAAAATGCTGTACAAGATGAAAACGGTGAATGGTCATTTTCATGTGACTCGTTCTTAATTTTCGTTTTTTATTTTACTCAATTAAAAAAAAATCTTTTCGAAAAACATACAAAACAAGATACTCATTTTAGTAATTTGTTTAATTTTTAGATAATTTTCTATTCTATTTGCTATTTTTGAATTGTAACAACTACAGTTTTTTTTTCATTTTTCTCGTTTGTCTTTAATGTGGGACTTTTACTTTATTCATTTTTTATCCATTCGTTTAAATAACTTTTTTTCACTACTATTTGTAAAACATACCATTATTTAGTTTGTCGAGAGTTTGTGCAATTGCTTTTCCCTACTAATGGTCAATAATTTTCCTTATATTATTACATTTTTCAGTCTTTCCATTTTAATTTTTTCTTAAAAAAAATCACAATAACTCTTTTCAAAAAACATACTAAACCCACGTGTTTTTTTTCATTTCTTTAGTCTGTTCTGATTAATTTTTTCTTTGCTATGTTTTAATTATTAGAACATTTTTTTTTAATTTTTCTCGTGTTTTCTCAAAGTGTGATTTTTATTATTAATTCTAATAGTTTGTAACATCATTTTTTTAATTTCTTTCTTTCCAAGAACTTTAATTGGCAACACTGAAATATTCAACCACTACGATCAGAAATTTTATAGTTTTGATTTTTGTTTTTTACTTTCTATTGCGTTTTTTTATAAAATTTCCACACCCACCTCTTTCTTATGTAGATCCACGTGTGCGAATCCACCCACACAAGCGCCGTCAACAGCAATCCCGCCAAAACCGCCGACACCAGCATCATCGTGAGCCCCAACAGCCCCACATTACACAACGCCTTCGCCCCTCTCAAATAATGCGCATGTAACGCCCTACAATCCACTGACGTTGTTAAAATCGTCACTGACGTATCGGCCGAATTGACTTCATTCTTCAACGACGAAAATTTCGTATCTAATTGCTTCTTCGGGAAGAGATTCAACGCCGGTTGTCTCAAACTATTCAAATTCGAGCGCATATTCTCAATGGCCGTTTTGGCCTCGCGCAATCTCTGCGTAAAAGGATTAGCCCTTGCCCTTTCACAACTCGTATAATAACGCAAGATGTCTTTGGAGAGTTCAGTCGAGGCTTGCTCTTCGACAAACTTATCGGGGGCTATACATAAGTCACCTAAGGCTACGCTAGAGGCGAGATAGACACTCGCCATTAAATATGACGCTATCACCGCCAACAAACCGCACACAGAGAAGGCTATGAGAGCACAGCGACTATGACGGGCCACCCCCACCTAAAAAACCCTATTTAATTCAATTCAATTTGATTTAATTCCATACCAATAATATCACACACAAAATGAGTAAAACGCTCAAGACGGCCATGGTCAACGGCCACCTGATCGCTTCCACCTTCTCGCCAACTACGATCTTTGGCATGAGATTCATCCCTAGTAACGGTTGTCGTATATCTTGGGCGGCGTTGGCCGCCATTGTGTTATTCCCCATTGTTTTTTCCAAATAGTTCAAGGCCGGCTTGAACATACTCATGTTGCTCACCGGCTCGTCGAAGATGTCACGCATGTTGACTAATTGGGCTTCGACTTGGACACGAAGTTGGCGTTCGATGGCTTCGGTTTGGTTGCGAATTTTCGCAACGAGAATGTCGACTTGGCGGCCTTCTTCGAGGAGGCGGACGACGCCGTTGTGGAGGTCGTCGTTGCCGTAGAGACCGAGACCGATGGCGGCGCAACAGAGGACCGAGACGATGGCGAGGGAGACTTTCAGAGCGGAAATGGAGCGGGAGGGACGAGGTTTGCGATCGCAGCATCGTGTGAGGAGGTAGATGAGGAGGACTAAGAGGGTGAGGATGAGCCAGGCGGCCGGGAGGGAGCCCAAAATGCCCAAACTCTGAAACAATACACGAAATTGAAAAAATCGATATAATCGAGTGGCCTGGGCAAATGGCTAAATTAGTATACTTTTTCTCAAATCGTCCGAAAAGTGAATGAAATAGTCCGTAAAGTAGTATATTTCCAGACTCATATTGAAAATGTCCGTAAAGTTGACAATATATCCATGTTGTATATTGTTGGTTGCATACTTTACCAAATTTTTACAAAATCTAAAAAATTACGATTTCAGCATTACTTAAACTTAACTTTAGTGCCTTGTGATTATTTCGAGTTAATAAATGTATCTAAATCCGAATTTTATCAAAACAATGTCGTTTTAGGTCTGTATTAAGTTTTTGCAAGTTCAAATTTTTTTATCAAAAATCGATAGCTGTTTTGACCTAAGACTTATATTTTCGGGTTACAGTTTCTTTTAAAAATAAATGCCTCTGTTCCCAGAACGGTGAATCAGAGGAACTCAAATAATGTTATACAGGGTTCCCCAGCGAGTTGAAAAAGTCCATTAGTGACCTTTAGATGGTAAAATTTAAAAAAATTATATAGGACGTTGATAGATACTAATCTAATCCATCGGCTAAAATTATTTTCAACTCAATGAAACACCTTATGTTTCTTTCCATTTTTTGATGTAGCCTTTTTAAGACAATGTTTTTACGCTAAACTTTTATTAATCGATTTCGCTTAATTTTATAAATAAGAAGTTTTTTTAACGAAAACATGGACTTTTTAAAAATTTATTACACACAAAAACTAACACAGCTAGAACAAATTTTTTCTTACTTCTACAAAGAAGAAAGTAGAGAATTTAAAGCTGTAGCAATTTTTTAGTGTTTTGCATTTGTAAAGATTAATAAATTAAGAAGTTTGTTAAAAGTTAAATAACTTAGAAAAATTAAATGGAACACCCTATTTTTTATTTTTGCATCTAATAGATTGATAAATTGTCTATCTAAAAAAATAAACTTTTGATGTCTACAATTGATAAATGGAAAGATATCTAACATTCAATATTACTTGTAGCAACAATGCTTATCAATATCTGAGCATTGTTGATACTATGGCAACCATAGTAATTCCACCAGGGATCACTTATCCGTTGATTTAGCCAGAGATTAAAAAAGTCGTTACAAATACTGAAATTCGAATTACTTTATTGTAAAAATAAAAAATCATGGATTCAGTTTAACAAAAATACGATTACTAAGTGACATTTCTTCCATTTCTTGCGCAACTGTGCACTTTTTGGCTACTGAAACAATAGTTAATATTTTTTTTAATGTTTAAAGTTAAATATCTTTTTAGTTATTGATTATAAACATCTAAAATAAATAATTTTAGAAAGACAATCTAATGATCTTTTAAATGCAAAAACAATAAATAGGGTGTTCCATTTAAATTTGTTAAGTTATTAAACTTTTAACAAACGTCTTCATTTTTTTATATTTGCAAATGCAACACACTAAAAAACTATTTCTTGATGTCTTAATTTTTGTCTAATACATTTTTAAAAAGTGCATGTTTTCGTCAAAAAACCGTCTTATTTTTAAAACTAAGCAAAATCGACCAATGAAAGTTTAGCTTAAAAACATTGTCATAAAAATCTACATCCAAAAATGATAAGAAACATATGGTGTTTCATTTAAAAAAACACAAGTTTGTATTGTAACTTATTTGTGATACACGCTGTATAGTTGAAATTTTTTTTAGGCGATGAATTAGATTAGTATCTATCAATGTCTTATACAATGTTTTTTCAATTTTCCATTTAAAAGTCACAAATAGACTTTTTCAACTCGCAGGAACACCCTGTAAAATGTCCGTAAAGTTGACAAGTTATCCGTAAAAAGTGCAGTGTGTAATGTTGGTGGCATAGTTTTTCAAATTTTTACATAATCTAAAAAATTATAATTTCAGCATTAAAGTTAATTTTAAACTCTACATTCGTGATAAAAAGTCAACTTCAATGCTTCGTTGTATAAAAATATATAACTATTGTGAGTTAATAAATGTCTCTAAATCGGGATTTTGTCAAAACAGGCCAGAAAATCGTCGCTTTAGGACTGAATTATGCTTTTTTAAGTTTAATACTTTTCAATTTTTGTTCGCTTTGGGAGTAACAAAATGTATAAAATTTCGAAAAAAAAACCTTATTAAAAAAATCTGTTTTGACTTAAGACCTATACTTTCCGGGTCACAAACTTACTTTTCAAATGTAAAACTACATATTCGCTATTCGATAGATATCCGAACGCAAATTCTGGTGATATTTTGTTTTTTGCCCTAAATATTTTCTGAAAAACACATTTGCAATTTTCAAAATTTGATTTTTTTCACTTTTCACGACAAAACTATGAGCCAAAATAAAAGTAACTTAAACTTAAACGCATTAATTTATTTTTGTTTTTAAATATTATACTATAATTTAATAAAATTATTTGAAATTTCGAACAAAAAATCATAGTCTGTGATTTTTCACTTTTACGCCAATATTTCTTGCAAAAAAGTGAAAAGTGAAGCATAAAAAAAGAAAAGAGGAAAACATAAAAAAACAAAAACTAAACCTAAAGTTATATATAGAACGTAGGAAAATAGAAATATTGAAGAAATAAAGATGAAGAAAAAATATGAAAGAGATAAAAAACTTTTATGAAATTCATGAAAAATTGTATTTTTTAGTAATGAAGTGTTAAAAAATAAGAAAACAAAGAAATTTGTATTTTATTTTATAAGTTAAAACATGTATGTAGCAAAAACTTTCTTGTGAAACTAAATAGGACAAAACCTATTTCCCTTTAAAAATACTTTAATTCATTTTTCAAAAAGTAAATAGTAAAATGTTAAAAAAGTGAAGAGTCCGACCCTTGTATTTTCGAGTTTCAATATTAACTAATAGTCTTATTGGACAAAACTGCTGGCAAACATTGTCCTAAATATTTAATGGAATCGATCCTTGGGCAAAACGTGCCGAAAGCCTGGAATCTGCGCTAATATTTGATGAAATAGACTAGAAATTCAAAAACGAAAGCAATAAAAATGCATCTCGTTTCTGTGTTGTCCTATTTTTCCCTCGAAATAAAAATCCGCCGTCTGAAATAATCACGATTCAGTCGTTGTCCCTGCCTCCAGCCTAACCATTTCCTTGAGCAGGAAGATGCGAGAGGGTCCAATTGTTTGTTTCCTGTGCAGCTGTTCTGCATTCAGATTATCTACCGTTCAAACATGGACTCGTCAATCTCTAACTCAACGTCCTGTCATGTCGCGATTTAATTACTCACATAAAGACGAAAAAACTCCATTCTTTGTTTTCCCAACAGCATAAACAAACAAGGTTTAAGATTGATGGCTGGCTTTTAAAACGCGATAAATCGATCGGGAATTTTTACGAAAAATTGAAATTAATACAAGTGTGCCATAAATGGTAGTTTGGTGAAGCTAATAGCACCATGAAACGAGATATTTCACGGTGATAGGCAATTGTCTCATGCATGACCTGTCGCCGCTTGGGATTTTAGCTTGCGGAAGGTTGGCGATACTGTGCGAGGTTTTTCTTCAATTAAATTAATCTCGGGGGTGAAAGGATGTAATTTCAGGAAAAGCCTTGGTTTTTAATGACAACACTTGATATCGTTTTGTAATTAATGCGATAAGTAATGTTGGCTACAATGAAAATTTTATAACGTATAAACACAGTTTTTTTATTTTTTCTCTCGAGTGTAAAAATGAAAAATAATCATCGGAATTCATTTTCCATTGAACAGCGAAATCTGAGTTTCGTATATTTGTACAGGGTGTTAAAAAAAGATTGTACAAAATTTCAGGAGATAATAGTATGGACCAAAACAAACAACAAAGTCTTAATAAACATGGGTTTCGCAGATATTGAAGATTATTCGTTTTTTGAAACATTTATTTGCAATCTGATCAAACAAAAAAGAGAAGCTTCTAGTAAAAATTCTAAAAATTTTCACATTCGACATCTCCGAAACCGTTACTTTGCGGACCCATGTTTATTAAGACTTTTTTTTGTGTATTTTGTATATTTTTACCCCCTTAAATATTTTACAATCTTTTTTTAACACCCTGTACATATATTTATTTTTGGACTTTTAGTGGAAAAACGTGTTTTATGCAGGGTGTGCGATAAAACGCTCAAAAAACATCATTCTTCACACATTTACACAATTTGCGAATCAAACAGTGAGTACTACAGGGGGGGCGAGCGGCTATGCCGCGAGCCCCCCATAATTCCTACAAAACATTTTCGAATTTCCAGTTTATCTTTTTGTATATTGAAAACTTGTTTATTGAAATGTCATTTTGCACAAATTTTAATTACTGAGTGATTGAAATAATTGTGTTGTCTATTTTTTAACGATCTTTTGACATGTGATTGTCATTGCAGTCTAATAAAAAATTTCTTTCTGATTTTTCAATAATAATCTTGGGTCAAAAATTTAGTACAAATCTTGTGTGTTAACCATTTTATAGGACTCAATTATTAACACACTCCACTACGCGTCGTGCGTCAAATTAATTTCGCCGTGTAAATACGCAAATGTACATTTAAAATTTTTAGAAAATAAAAATAGGCACCTAATGAATTTTTTAATTATAAAATCAAGTTTAAAATAGAGAAAACCTATTTCGCACAAAAATCATGTTACGTAAATTTATTTTGAAAACCAGTTTACTAGAAAACAATGCATTAAACTAATAATGCTCATCTCATTAATGCATAGTTTTCTCTAAGAATGGTTTGTGTTCATTAAACAACTCAACACTTTTTTATTAATTTTAATATTTTATAATTACCAAAATATAAATTTTATCACAGAATCAAAAAATTTAAAATAATTTTGCATTTTTTTTCTACTTAAATTAAATAAATAGTTTTGATTCATCTTCAATGAAAAGTTACCAAACGAAGAAGAAATTTAAAATAGTTCATCTAAGTTAATAGTTAAATCTAAGTTAAGTTGCGGTTAGAAGGATCGACGTCCTTAGCAGGGGGCGTTTATTGAGGCATCATTTTCATTTTGTTTGACTGTACATAACTACAGGGTAAATATAAAGTATGGAACCAAGAGATTTTTTTTTGTAATTATTTGCCTCTAGAAAATAATAATAAATACAGAGTGCGCCAGAACTCGCGCCCCAGAGAAAAATGTCATATAAGGTAAGATACCAGAAACAAAATGTTAAAAAAAATATCTATATTTATTTTCGCTACAGGCTATTAGAAGAGGAAACAAGAAAGGTGTATCCTAAATTGTAACTTTGTTGAATATTATTTGTGGCTTTTATTGATACTTTTACTAAATAATTGTAAAAAAACATATACAAGGGCATCAGTATCATTAAATAGACATAAAAAAATGTCAAATGTCAAAAAATAAATATCAAAATTTTTTGACAGAATTTTTTTTAAACAGCTTATCTTACTTGAAAATTTTCTCTGGGGCGCGAGTTCTGGCGCACCCTTTGTTTTCTTTTTGAGTTATAGGATTTTTTTTGTTAAAATTGCATTTTATGTAATTTTTTTTAATTAAATATAAAGTAGATAGTTGTAATCCTTTGATCATAACCTTCATGAGAAAAAGAGTTTTATAATGGGTTGCAATTAAAAAAAAATTTGTACAACTCAAAAACCAAAAAAAAAATGGAAAAAAATTTTATTCTGGATAAAACATCAAATTTTTATAGTACTTTATTATTCATAAATTAGTTTTTCCAAAAAATAAATAGTTTAAGCAAAAAATGTTTGGCTCGATACTTTTTATTCATAATAAAAAATGTTTCAGTATTATTAAGAGTGACTTGAATTGAATATTCTAGCCCCTCATTGTGATTTTCAAAATACGTAAATATGAGATTCGAAAAAAGGAAAATACAATTTGGGGTATTTTAGTGATTTTAGAAAAAGTCCGATCCCCGTTTTTTGAAATTATTTCATTATTTTTTTGTGTTTAAACTTACCTCTAAATAGACTGGCGAATGGGGGTCGAAGGAGTTATTAACTTGATGGAATGTAACATTGAGATGAGGTAGCGAGTGCAGCAATCGCGCCAAGAACGGGATGCTGTACGCGTCCTCTCCTGGAGTGACGCCCATGCCAGCACTACGCCACTGCGTTCACGTCACACCATTATCACACGAAACCCGACACACCACGAGCCACTGAAACAATCAAAAAATACTTCAATTACTCCAATTCACAAGTTTCTAAAAGAATTAACTTAATAATCAATCCGCTACGACTACTTGTTGATTAATCACAATTTGCAACAAAACAAGTGTGTTGTTATCAAAAACCAAATTTTATCATTATCAGTGTTTCAACCAACGTCATTCCAGTAAACAGACCGGAAAATGAATCAAAATAACACGGATTTATTTTCGGATATCCTGAGATGAATGTCCGATTCGGGGGATGAGGTTGAGTGTTGCTAATGAGAACATCTCTGGGTTTGTGATGGCAGGTTTATTGTGTGAAGGAATGACAAGCTGGTCGATGATAAGCGACCGGAATTGGATTATCAGGAAGGGTTGAATCACAAAGTTTTGCTGTTATTGGGTTTTCCTTGAAAAATTGACACTGATGATTTTTATCGCATAACTCGGAAAAAAAAATTACTCGATCATAATGAAATTTTAGTATTTCATTTCGTTCATTAAAACTAGCTTTTTTACTTCTAGAATGTGCTTTTTGTGATTTACAAAATTGAATGATTTAAGAAACTGACCCAATAACGTTTTATGCACTTTTTTCTGGACCATTAGGAATGCTAAAAACTTAATTTAGTCCAATTTGAAAATTCTTGATTTTATGAGAAAAATTGAGGCACAAACTCAAAAAATTTCCTTTTACAATTTTTAAAAGCTTCACAACTTAGGTACGAGTACTTAGATAAACACAATTTTTATTTATTTATTTATTTTTATTATACATTTCATATTGCCTCACACTACCTATCTTTCCTTATTTAATATTTCGTTCTACTTTTCAAATTTTTAGCAAAAAAAACAGAACGGAATAACTAGCAAGTGTTCTCAAGTCATAGATAAAATATTTTATTTGATTTTTTATTTTCTCTATGCTCGTCTTATATTTTTTACAACTGGCTCATTACATGTTAAAAACATGTTTGCAATCCGATTTATACAAGGTGCGCCAGAACTCGCGCTCCAGAGAAAAATAACATGTATCTTACCTACATGGAACATGGAAAAATGTTAAAAATATTCTATCAATAAAAATGTCGAAGTTATGAGAGTTTAAATATAGCACTTTGACTCTATTTATTTCTGTTGGAAAAATAATTTTCCAAGTTTTTTTGCTACAGGCTAATAGAAGAGGAAACAAGGAAGCTGTATCCTAAATTGTAACTCTGTTTAATGTTATTTGTGGCTTTTATTGTCAAATTTTTTATACTTTTACTAAATAATTATAAAAAACATATACGAGATCATAAAAAATGTCAAATGTCAAAAAGTAAATGTCAATTTTTTTTGACAGATAGAATTTTTGAAACATTTTTTTCCATGTTCCTGGCATCTTATCTTATTAAATTTTTTCTCTGGGGTGCGAGTTTTGACATACCCTGTATAATAAATAACAAAAAACAAAAGTTGAAATAATATTTTATTGATAGTAGATATGCATACAGGGTGTTTTATGAAAATTGCGAAAAATTTCAACCACATATTCTACATCGAAAATTAACACTAATTTATTTGGGTACAGGGTGGATAAAGTTTCATGATTTACTTTCCTTAGTGTTATATTTCGATTTAGAATATATGGTTGCAATTTTTTACAACACTAAAAAAAACCTGCATATTCTGAAAAATAACTAGAAAAAAACAGTAATTTTGCGTTTGAAATGAAGTTACTTTTCTCTTTGCTATTTTTGAATTACTACAATAATAGTTTTCTTAGTTTATTTATTTTTTTCAACGTGCAATTTCTACTTTATTCACTTATTTATTTGCTTAAATAATGTTTGTATTTGTTTTATTAAACTTAAAGTTTTTTTTAGTTAATGCTCTTAATTTTAATTTTTTATTTTACTCAATTAAAAAAAATCTTTTCGAAAAACATACAAAACAAGATACTCATTTTAGTAATTTCTTTCATTTTTAGATAATTTTCTATTCTATTTGCTATTTTTGTATTATAACTACAGTTTTTTTCTCATTTTTCTCGTTTGTCTTCAATGTGGGATTTTTATTTTATAAATTTTTTTATAAAAAATGTCATATCAAAAAATAAATGTCAAAATATTTTAGATATTTATTCCATGTTTCTGATATTTTACTTGAAATTTTTCTTTGACTAAATTATATTATTTAAAAGCAAAAAAATAATAACTATTAATGTAGGTTTCCTTTTTTCATTGCACACATGCTAAAGCAACAAGAAGATGGTAAAAAATCCCCAAAACCATCTGTTCAATACATTCCACTAACGAGTTGTTTCAAAGCTCGCCAGACAAAAGCGTCCTTGTTGACGCTTTAAAACCGAGAAAAAAATAGGGATGCTCCATATTAAACCCTCTTAAAAAGTTCAAGACACTTCAAACCCGCATCTCTCCACGAAAAGAAAATTAATTGGAAGCTTGTCCGCCTTACAGAAAAGCCCAATTTGATTAAAAATTCAAAATATTGATGCATTTTTGCTCTCTCTTGCGTCAAAGTTCAAAGTGTTAAATTCCGTTGTTTGACAATAAAAACACATTGCGATAGTATCAGCATGAAAAAATATGTCAGCTCTCGTATGTAAATCGCTTGTTTTCAAACGTTTCACAACTCATCTTGTTACAAATTTAACACAAACAAAACTTTGCCATCACCAATTTAATTTTCGATGCTGTTTCATCACAGTTCGCTTTAGGTAACAATCATTTCTATCGTCTGTTATCGAGATATAAATCGACATTTCAGCCACTATAGCAATGAATTGAAGGGAAGCCAAAGTTTCGGTGAAGCGAAGAAAAAGTAGAAACCTTTTATCACTTTTTTGTTTGCACATCAGTTAACTTGAGTAATTAGGTTACGCATCCTCTGTTTAATTTTACTTATTTGCACGATAAATATTGGTTTTAGAAAAATTACTATGTCACTCGTGTAGCATCCCACAATCTCCCTTCTTACAAAGCTTAGAGCGAGTTTTTTCCATCAATACAGGGTGTTAGAAAAAGATTGTAAAATATTTCAGGAGGTAATAAAGAAGAATCTGCAAAGTAACGTTTTTTTTGTTTATTTTGGTCCATACTATTACCTCCTTAAGTATTTTATAATCTTTTTTTAACACCCTGTATAACAAAAAAACATGTTTTCTCATCCTTAAATGACTGATAAATCCATTTATGAAAGTTTTTCTCGCATAAGAAACAAATTAAATTCCAACAAACACTTTTTGTCGATCCTGAAGTAGTAAATGATGACATCTCTTCCATCCACTCGATCACAACAAAAAAATCAACTTTTTTGTACCAACAAAAACCACAAAACACAAGAAATGACTAGAACGGAAATGTCCACTTCAAGGACAAGCACTTGTAATGCACTTTAATTCAGAATTTAATTACAAAAAAATACAGGGTGCTAAAAAAAGATTGTAAAATATTTAAGTATGGACAAAAAAAGTCTTAATAAAATTTGCAGACCCATGTTTATTAAGAATTTTTTGTTTGTTTTGGTCCATACTATTACCCTCTGAAATTTTACAATCTTTTTTTAACATCCTGTAAAAAAATAAAATGAGGTGGCACTCCTGTCATTTTTTGATCGATACAACATACAGTATGTACCAAAATTATGTCCCATCGCAATGCAACAAAAGAATTATGTACGTTCAAGGCCCTCTACGACACAAAGAAAAAATCTTATCACTCGAGGGGTCCCCCGATTAAATAATAGCCGTTTAACAGTGTAATGAGCGTGAAAACGATTGAATTTTCAACCTAGGCCATCGTGATGTCCTTTTGGGCATCACATGTAAACATACAGGGTGTGTACGAAGGGGCGCAAAGATCCCGGCTAAGGGCGTGGCTCACGAAGCATCGATCTGGGTTTCAACGTAAAGCTCGCACACACCCTCGATTCACGAATATTAAGCCGTTTCAGATAAAATTAACGACGAGATTTGTTTATCTAGTCGGCTGTGACTCAAGACATTGACATTTATATTGTTGTTGTTGTTGCATCAAGTTGGCCATGCTTATTTCGCACACTGTATATGAAATTATTTTAAAATTTCATCGTTTCTATGGTAACAACACTGTCACAACAAATAGGTGTGTCTTTGGCGACTTGATCGAGGTGTGAGTCTTAAGTAAAAATTGAAAATCGACTTCCTTTTTAAGAGCGACAAAGAAAGTCAAGACAGGAATTGAAATTTAAATAAATCAGTCGATGACTAACAAACGTGCAGAGGAAAATTTTAATTATTTTTTATTATTATTCGCGACTCCCCTTGAAAACATCTCGTTTTTTATTAAGCAACTCAGAGTGAATTAATTTTCTTTACGTTGCTCCGAAAACGAATTTAAATAAGGAAATTGGGCGTAAAAAAATACTCGATGACAAATATGTTTATATTTGTTATCACACGTAATTCTATTTTTAATTGACAGCAATGACAATCGATGATGTCAATTTTAGTTCAAACAAGGCTACTATGATTCACTCAAGTCAAAACCCAAGTTCCATTTTCGTAGCCTTATGAGTAACCAAATTTTATTAAAAAAATCATTTTTGTTCGATTCATTTGGGCTTATTTTTCCACTTTATTATCGGAACAAAGAAACAGTGAATTTGATCATCATTCCATTCACATTTCCTCGTCTCATTTTTTCGCTCTTTCAACATCAAATATGTAAATTCTGCCTTAATTAAAACCCCTCCCATTTCCTCAGTTCGCTCCGATTAATAAATCCTTCCATCAAAGGGAAACTACATATCCATCGTTCCGATTGTGGCATCACGAAGGTCAATTATTTGACCCATTAATGGAGGTTGGCCTTTTGAAGCAACAGTTCTCAAGGTACGAGTACGATAAAGCTCCAGGTGGTCGACCAGATGATCTAAATTTAATCGTCAAGGTTGGGGGAAGCACCAAAATAACCCGGAAAATTAGAAAAATCAACTCATTTTTCTCCTAATGTTTGTAATTCAATTTTTTCCGGCTTCGTTTGAGCTCAAAAATAAGCTTCCCCAACTCTGGAAGGAAACTGATGTGCGGTGATTTGTTACGTTGGCACTAATGCAAAGAAAATGTTTCATTACTGTTTGTTTGTAATTATAATTAATGAGATGCGTGAGAGTGAGGGATTAAGAGAAATCACACAAAAATTGATTAAGTCATTATGAGATCACAAGGATCAAGAAGGCGAGGCTTAATGACATTTGCTAGCGACGAGCCACGAACTAGCGAAGCGAGTGATAATTCAGCAAAAAATTGACGCATTCAGATCAATTTTCGCTTCCTAATTAAAACATAATCAAGGATAAATTATTAAACTTTGAACTCATTTGCATAGTGTTGAAACACATTTAACGACTTTCCAATAAAAATGTTGGCGCCACATTTATTATTCAACTTTTGACAGATAATATTCAATGACAGCAACACACTGGATTTTGGTATAAATTTCCGGCCTGGAAACCCAGCCCACGTGACCCTCTCAATAATCAATCGAAACGTCTTGAAATGGTATTATCGTGTGAAGCCCTCTAAATTGGGCCCCGTTTTCGGCGCACACTCCGGCCCTGCTTTTTCCGGGGGTGCTCGGTCCGTCCCTGTGTTGGGCCCTCGTAAAAACAATTATTTTATGGATTCGCGTGCGTGCAACAACTCGTAAAATCGATAAATTACGTAAAAGGGCCGGCTTTCGCCCACAACCCCTTTTTATGTTTTACTTGTCTTGCCAGTTTTGAGTCATGGATGAATCACAGGGGGCTGTTTTGCGGTTTAAATAAATGAAACACATCCGACTAAACCCGTGTGAATCGGTTTAATTATGCGAGAATTTAATTCAATTGGTTGATTTGAGTTAATTACCTCAAAGTAAAGTAATAATCCACTCAAATCCGGCCGTAACAACATGCACCCACTCACTTCTGCTTCTCACAACAGACTGGAGTTTTTTGAGGGATAGAGGGCGCTCGAGAGGAAAGCCGGAATGTAGGCAACACATTTGACACTTGTGATTTATATGTTGCTGGTTTAACAAGGTTGAATAAGAAGGCATTAATTTTTTAAAGTTTATTAACCAGAGGTGATGTAAACAAAGGGTAATAATGTTTATTCCAATTTAAGGCACGTTACACGTTACAGTACCGACTGCTACTATTTTAATCCTATAATAAGTGGAAATACTTTTTATTTGGTATTTCATTGATGACTAGTAATTTAACAAAAAACAACAAAATAAAGCCATCGAAAAAACTGAAAACTTATTGTCGGTGATTAATTGCATGGTTACACAAGTTCAGTTAATATCACCACTAACAAAAACGGTAATAAATACCCTCACAAAAAATAAATATTTACTTAAACGGTAAATAAAATATTAAAAAATAAAACAAATCTCTTAAATATCTGATTAAAACCCACTTAACAAAGGCAACTACTTAGTGCTTATATACAAAACCAACATTCAAACCGACTGTTGCGATTGGTTCAATTTCCGTACAGGCTGTGGCGACATCTACAAAAAACTATTACAAAACAAACAACCAGTCGTACCAACGTACCCAATTGAGCTTCGTCCTTGACACATTATCCGAGTACCGGTGCACAGCCGCCGTCGTTGTGTACACTTTCCTGACCTCTGGCTCAGTCATTGTGACCTTGACCTCACCCTCTGACACCTCCTTGTCCATGTCCCCACACGAATTAATATAAATACTCGTCGTATACAACTTGACCTCCTCGGTACTAGTCGACTTGTCTAGAGACTTTCGTGGATTGGCAGCACTGTCGAGCTTATTCTGCGAATTACGTAACGCGACTTCGTCGCTAGTCTTCGTCTCATCGTCTACTTTCGGTTTCTTTTCGATTTTGATGTTTTTTGGTGGAACGAATTTGGGCATTCGAGACACCCAATGGTCGGTTGAGGAACCCACCGAACTGGTACTAGCCGCACTGCTGGTACTCGAACCAACATTACGACGTTGGTAAAACAAAATATAAGCGCTGTTGTTGACTAAGAGGGCGCTGATGTCGTCAGTTTGTTTCGACAAGTTGGTGACTTTTGCGTCGTCGTAGAGGTACCACTGACTGTCATAGGGGTTTTTACAGGCGGCGGTATAATGACCGGTTTCGATATCACTACCATGATGGTAGCAAATACCATAAAGGTCGTACATATTGTCGTTGGCGTTCGATTGTTTCCGCGTACGTTTAAACGGACTCCACCCATTGGTCATTATCATCTGGTCATCGGCGATATTTTGGCCCTTGTTTGCCAAATGGGGGCTCATATCGAGATTATAAACCGGAAAATCGACCATAGTTGTCAATTTGGCGCTACTACAGCCCCGTAAAGTTTGCCTAAAATTGAAACAATTGAATTCAACTGTCAAAACTTTCAAATGTCACTTACTGTCGAAACCGTTTAAAATGCACGACTAAAATATCAGGCAACGACCACAAATCTAATGTTTTCACCACAGGTTGGTACTGCTGACAATGGGGGCACCTCCACGCATCCGTCAAAGTCTCCGCTTCGGTATAATCCGTCAAACATTCCTCCAAAGTCAAAGGTGCGCCCCCTTGTAACGCTTGCGTTTTCAATTGTTTTACCGACGAATGTTCCTCAATAACATCACTATCATCAGCAATTATCGCATTTTTGGCACTCTGTGAAAACTCGATGACAAGTTTGACATGTGGGGGCCCACCTTCTTCGCTACATAAAGCTAATGCTTGATCAACATCCTCCATAAAAAGTGGATGCTCGAGCTCAGGTTCGAGGTAACAAGGAGGCTCGTTATCGTTACAAGCGGGATCCGAAATGCGTATTTTGAAAACACCCTTCGGTTGAGACGACGTGAGAATGTCGTCGTGGAGGATGGGGGCCATCTCTTTGAGGAGGAGTTTCTGGAGGTCCTCGTAGGAGGTTTCGCGGGAGACTTGCATCGTATAGGGGCTGCCTGCAAGCAAACTTTTATGTAAATAACTCACACTTAAATTTAGATAAAATTTCCCGAAATAAATGTCATTTGTTATTTAACGAGGTGAGATAAATCGGAAAAGGGCAAATAACTGAATTGTTTATTTGTGTTATTTGGAAATGTCAGGGCGATTTTTATTATGATTTTATGATTGTCGTTAAAATAATCATAGGAAAAAAAGTAACAATAAATGGGTCATGTGTGGACAATTAGCAACAAATCATCTTCATTACGGCCAAGGTCGTGTGCGTAATTTTTATTTGATTGGACGACCTGGACGTAGCGAAAAAAATAAAGTCTTCATTTGTCGAGAAAAAAGCAGGATTTTAGACCAATAAAACGTAATTTATATCAGATTCTTTTCTAATAAATACGTTTGGGGCTAATTTCCCTGCAAAAAAACACAGTTGAATTGACAGATTTCTCATTTTAACAAAAACAAATGATATAAAAATTTCACATACGTTTGAGGCGGATTTACTGTTAAAAACTCAGTTGGCTTTGTCAAAATACCAAATTTTTATTTTGACAAAGACAAATGACAAATTCTGTCAAATTTTCACACGTTTGAGATAAATTTGCTGCTAGAAAACATAGTTGTTTTTATTAAAATAATCGATTTTTCATTTTAACAAAAACAAATGACACAAATTCTGTATTTGAAGCGAACTTCTTGCTAAAAAACACAATTGGATTTGTCAAAATAACAATTTTTTTATTTTTACAAAGACAAATGACATTAATTTTGTGTTTGAGGCGAATTGCTTGCAAAAAACGCAGTTGGTTTTTTGTCAAAATGACAGATTTTTCATTTTACAAAGACAAATGTCTCAATTTCACATACGTTTGAGACAAATTTCCTGCTAAAAAACACAGTTGGCTTTATTTAAATGACAGGTTTTTCATTTAAACAATAACAAATGACATCAAATTCTGTCAAATTTTCAAATAAGTTCGTTTGAGGCGAATTTCCCACTAAAAACAACACAGTTGGCTATAGATTTTTCGTTTTAACAAAGACAAATGACAAATATTGCAAAGAAACGTTTTTAAGACGAAAAAACTAATAATATAAACTCTGTCAAATTTTCACATACGTTTGAGGTGAATTTCCTGATAATAAACACAGTTGGCCTTGTCAAAATGACAAATTATTCATTTTGACAAAGACAAATGATAAATTCTGTCAAATTTTCACACGTTTATGGCGAATATCGTGCTAAAAACACGAAATTAAAAAAAATAACAAAGACAAATGACATAAATTCTGTGTTCGAAACAAATTTCTTGCTAAAAACGCAGTTGGTTTTGTAAAAATGACAGATTTTTAATTTCACAAAGACTAATGACATAAATTCTGTCAAATATTCACACGTTTGAGGCAAATTTTCTGAAAAAAAACACAGTTGGCTTTGTTATAAAACAGATTTTTTATTTAACAAAGATAAATGACATAAATTCTGTCAAATTTTCAAGTGTTTGTTGCGAAATTTCTGCTATAAAACACAGTTGGCTTTATTAAAATGACAGATTTTTTATTTTAACAAAAAGAAATGACAAGTTGTGTTGAAACAAAGTTCCTGCTAAAAAACACAGTTGGCTTTGTCAAAAATGACAAATTTTTCATTTTGACAAAAACAAATGACCGAATTTTGCACGTTTATGGCGAATGTCGTGCTAAAAATACAGTTGGCTTTATTAAAATGACAGAATTTTTATTTTAACAAAGACAAATGACATAAATTCTGTGTTCGAGACAAATCTTCACAGCCTGTCAACTTACCGAACCTCTTGAACCCATCCCCCTCTTGAACCACATTAATCCAACACAACAAAATATAAGCACTCGTCGTATCCTCTTCCAAATCCTTCAATTGCGCCACTTCGATGCAATAAATCGGATCAATTTCACTTATAATATTCACCGATTGCGTATCGGTAAAAGTTCTCAAAAATCCCGCCTCCCCAATCTCGGTGATTAACATATTGGCACGTTCGATGGACGTGTCCGATTCGAGGATATCCCTCAATTCCGAAACGGTAGCTCCCGATGGTAAACTCAAACCGATTTGGACCTGTCTCGGTTGCTGCGACGTATACAACACCTAGAGAAAAAAAAAATTAATGTCTAGATCGGAAAGTTAAGGTTTTTTCTCACACTCACCGTGACATAGATCGATTGTTTGCTGAATTGGGGCAATTGCACGGAGATACATTGGAACGGATCGAAGGTGTTGGATTGGGTGCGGCAACGAGAACAACTCAACGATGACCGGTATTGGGCCTGGAATACCCCCTGGATGAATGAATTGTTGCATCGTTTGTAATTCTCGAGGGTTTCGGCGGCGATTACCTCGTCCGAGCGGCCGGAAGTCTGAAAAAATTCAAGAAAAACGTCAACCAAATTGCCCAACTCGTTTTTTTTTCTTTTGGGCCTCTTAGTGTCGAATACTATTTCACCCAAATAAGTAAAAATCCCAGTCGCCTCTGTCAAAATGACTCAAATTATACTAAATTTTCATAAGTTTGAGACGAATTTCCTGCTAAAAAACATAAAAATGACAGATTTTCTATTTTAACAAAGACAAGTGTCAAATTCTATCAAATTTTCAAGTACATTTGAAACGAATTTCTAGCTAAAAAACAACACAGTTGGCTTTGTCAAAATAACAGATTTTACATTTTTCATTTGTTTGTTTGGTTTTTTTTATGTAAAAGTGGATGTGTATTTATATGCCGTTAAAAGAAAATATTATTATTATTAACAAAAACAAATCACAAATTTAGTCGAGTTTTTATAAGCATTTCCTGCTAAAAACACAATTGGCTTTGTCACAACGATGGACTTTTCATTTTAACAAAAACAAATGAAATAAATTCTGTCAAAATTTCACATACGTTTGAGACAAATTTCCTGATAATAAAAACACACAAGTGACAAATTTTACATTTTGATAAAGACGAATGACAAATTCTATCAAATTTTCATACGATTAAGGCAAATTTCCTGCTAAAAAACACAGTTGACTTTATTAAAATGACAGATTTTTCATTTTAACAAAGACAAATGACATAAATTCTGTCAATTTCTCAAAATTATTTGTGGCGAATTTCCTACTAAAAACGCAGTTGGCTTTGTCATAATGACAAACTTTTCTTTTTAACAAAGACAACTGACATAAATTCCGTCAAGTTTTGTGTTTGAGGAAAATTTCTTGTTAAAAAATCGCAGTTGGTTGTGTCAAAATGACAGATTTTGCAAATGCAAATGTCAAAATTTCACATTCATTTGAGACGACAAATTTCCTGCTAAAAACACAGTTAGCTTTGTCAAATGACAAAATACAATTGGCTTTATTAAAATGACTGATTTTTAATTGGACAAAAACAAATGACATAAATTCTGTCAAAATTTCACATACGTTTGAGGCGAATTTCCTGATAATAAACACAGTTGTCCTTATCAAAGTGACAAATTTTTCATTTTGACAAAGACAAATGACAAATTCTGTCAAATTTTCACACGTTTAAGACGAATTTCCTGCTAAAAAACACAGTTGGCTTTATTGAAGTGACAGGTTTTTCATTTAAACAAAGACAAATGACACAAATTCTGTCAAATTTTCAAATAAGTTCGTTTGAGGCGAATTTCCCACTAAAAACAACACAGTTGGCTTTGTCAAAACGACAGATTTTTCATTTTAACAAAGACAAATGACAAATCCTGTTTAATTTTTAAAACTTTTGAGGTGAATTTCCTGTTAATAAACACAGTTGGCTTTGTGAGAATGACCGATTTTTAATTTTAACAAGAACAAATGACAAACTCCGTCAAATTTTCACAGCCTCCTAGTCAACTTGCGCAAATACTGTGTGTTATTTGTCCAACTCGGACAAATAAAACAAAACAAAAATCAATTACAGGAAATCGACACAACTTTCTTCACTACAAAAAGTTAATTTTTTTCACAATAGAATTTTTATTATGCGAATGCAATGATGTATTTTTCATCCAAGCGTTAATTTTTATTGTTACTTTCTCTTCACATTTCCTCGACATATGAAATTATAAATGTTTATCCGTGTCGTAAAAAGCACCGGAATTCAGAAAGTAGACCTCAAAACTCCACCCAACAATTTCAGAAATAATATCGAATAAAATAAATACTCCAATCACGTCAACCGATCGATTTGTTTGTTATTTTTTCAACCATTCATAATAATTAAACACACCTTGAAACCTGACGTTAATTAATCACCTAGACGACGACGATGCTTAAATTTAGGTAAAATATCACGTCATAAAATTGTAATCAATCCATGAATTAAAAAAAACAAAACAAAACAACACAGACACGCAAAGCGTTCATTAAAATTTAGGTGCACCAAAGGATTAAAATTACAATAAATGAACCCAAATGGGCAATATTTCAAAACTATGACAAATGGCAATGGATTATCTGTTATCAACCGGAAGGTGTGACTAATAAAAGATTATTTTGTATTGACAATTTTTCCGGGATTGGCTATTGACCGAAAAAATTGTTATAATGTTGGTATTAGTCACAACTGGAAGAGAAAAACAACAGAGTTATTCACAGGTGGCATGATACGCTTCAATGATAAGTTGATTTATTAATAAACAGTAAAATATGCATATTTTCGTGCAATCAAGTAAGCATGTGTCAAATATTTGTAACTATAGCAAAAAATATAAATTGTTGATGATGATTAATTCAAAAAATCGTATTGTTGTAAACAAATGACAAACCGATAAACAAAAAAATTCCCACCGACTTTTCCATTACCAAAATTTCATATTACATACAAGAAATAAAAACCATGACCAAAGTGACCTATGATGTCAATGTTAAGTTGGCAGTATTGACACAGACCACTTTAATCGAACGCATTACAACGAACATTTGTTTACATTTTACCGTTTATCTAATCATCATTTTCTTTAACATCCAAGATTAGAACATGTATGTAATACGATTGTCATATCACCGACTAACTTGATCTCAGTAAATTAAACTGACACGTGATTAAACAAAGATATTTATATTCAAGAAATAAACGTGATAACAAATCACGTAAAATAATTTTTTTCAGAATAAAATAAATCATAATAAGTAAATCGATTTTTACTCTTAAAATTGCAATTGAATGAAGTGAATATTTTGACAATTTTTGAATGAAAATGCCCTCGGCTCGCTTACGTCACCTCTCGGATCACCTACAATTTCGGAATTAAAAAAAAAGTTGTTTGTTCCGTTGAGACATAATTATTCTTACTTAATTACAACTAATTATAATTTTTTGACCACTTGACAACTTCCGACAGTCCACAACTTCCTGCGGACGACCGTTAATAAAATCAGCATAATTCAATTAAGTGAAAAATTAAATTAATACAATCGTAGGTGTTTATAATGCGCTTCTTTTTCGGAATTTTTAACCGTTTTCGTTACCAATTAGAGTCAATTACGAATAATTAGATCACAAATGAAGGAAATTTGTTGTTATTGAAATTTCAAGTTCGATTAGATATTTTTTTCTATGATGTTTTGATCGTTTCCTTTCTGACGGCGTTTGTAGGTTGCGGTCGTGAATGATGATAAAAATCTATCAAGGATGACCTACTTCCTAGCTCATTCATAAGGGAGAAAAATAAATAATTAAAATTTAAATAAACAGACAAAATTATCGATGACTTACAGAATAAAATTCCTAGACCTAAAAGATCCAAGGTTGGCTACACAATTAATAAAAGTGCACAAAATTTGGCCACCCAGTCGGTCACGAAAACTAGAAATCTTTTCTCACAGCCAATGCGATAAATCAGGCAAAAATCCGCTCCCTTCTTTTGTCTATTCAAACGCCACGAGTCTGGAATGCGAAGAATGCGACTGTGAATCGATTAAAAGTTCGTCTCGAGCTCGACTTTTATAAATATAAAGCGTCCCCTCATCTCCAAAAGAATTTTCTTCCTTCGACAGGAAACGGACGAGTTGAATTACGACTTGCGTATCCTCTCGTCGAGGGGAAGTCACGTGTTTTATGACCAAGTGGCCATGACACGATTTTTGTTTTTTCATGAGCAACGCGGCGAACAAATTTTTTCTATAACGGTGCCCGTATTATTACTCACATAACGAAAAAAATCGACTTTCTCTTTCAGTGATTTACATAAACAAACTCTCCAAAACGGAAAAAAATAAAGGTCGACGGTATTTTTATCAAGAAAAATTCTACTTTTGGAAAATTCTCATAACAATAGAACTATAATTAAAAACGAATTGAGCAAATTTCTAGGTTCAGAAGTCACGCGTTAATGACGATTTGGTCTAGAAACGTCGAGAAATGCCGATTTTGTAACACTAACTAAAGTTTATTGACCAGATAAATAGATTAAAATAAATATTGCGCTGTATGCAACAGTTTATTTCTAATCTAGTTGGCTTAATATTTTTTTAATGTGTGTGAAATTTGAATATTAAAACAGTTTTACATCATTTTTTTTAAATTAAAACAGAAAATAATGCTTTATAGCCACCTTTTGTTGACACTGTTTCTATGGCACAGCCAACTAAACTACTTTTTTATTTCATTATCATTATCATATGGTATGACCTGCAGTCATAAATCACAACGAATTTTTTTTATAATTGTTGACTTAATTGTTAAACACAGTAATCAAGGTCACGAGTAAAAAAGTGTCGGTAGTAATAAAAACAGTAAATATTACATAAAAAAACTCTTATCGTAGTTGGCAACGACACCATAACAATCGTGCTTTCCATTCGAAAATTTCTCTCATTTAATTACGATTAAACAAAATCTTATAAAAATATGAATGAATTTCACAAATCCTATTAAAAATGTCAACTTTTTAGACTACACTAAATTTGTAGTAAAACCCCAAAATCGGTCACAACAATCGACGAATAATTCAAATTTGCTTTTATTTTATTTTTTTAATCAGATCAATAACACAATAAAATTTTTAGATGTATGTATAGTTACCGCCAAGGGATATATTATAGCCTTGACGAACGTTATATACAAATAAAATTTACTCACTTTTTAATTATTTATTCCAATAATCTAAAAAACTTACCACATGTACAGGCTGTTTTTTTAATATTGCGAAAAATTTCAACCACATATTCTACATGAAAAAATAACACTTAATTTCTCAAATAAACGATAGTCATATAAAACTTTGTTACGGATATACAGGGTGCTAAAGTTTCATGAAAAAAATTAAACTCCATTAGTTCCTACAAGACCACTTAAGTTATTTTCATAAAATTTTGCAGGCTTTATGAGCCACTGAAATCGCTTATTTTCCGACAATTACTTTTATCTTTACACTGACCAGTGTTATTTTTCGATATAGAATATGTGGTTGTAATTTTTCGCAATATTAAAAAAAAACACCCTGTAGATAAAAAAAAACGATATTCTGTATAAAAAAAACATTAAATTATAGCCTTTGGAAGTTACAATTTAACAAATTATCTCAAATTTGATTATTAATAATAAAAATAATAACCAAAAATCTTAGCTGAAACACGCTGTATAATTCAACATACAGACACATCAAAAAAACAATAAAAAAAACAGTTTTAATGTTACTTAAATGTTAATTTGATTATTAATAATAAAAATAATAACCGAAAATTTTAGCTGAAACACGCTGTTTAATTCAACATACAGGAACATCAAAAAAATAATCGAAAAAACTAGTTTTAATGTTACTAATAGAAACTCAAAACAATTTTTTAAAGTAAGTATCGCAGTCAAGAGTGCTCTGAAAATTAACATATGTCCTAAATAGTAACTACAACACCTGTCAGTTATCTATCAAATTTACCAACTTTTAAACACATGATTTGCATCAAATATTGATTAAAACTATTTTTTCCGAGAACGAACTAAAAGTCAGCATTGACAACACTCTTTTGTCATTTCATTAAACGTGACAATCTATAAGACATGCGTTCATAAAATTTTCATAGGACACTTGACCACGCCTTTATTTTAAATATGTATGTATTCATGGTAACAAAAAAAAAAAAAAGACCAGCAGCGAGTAATCATTTTTTTGTTAAAAAAATGAACTATTATGTAGTGTACATCCTGACTTAAATGATTTTTTTTTTAATTATTCTGGAACCCTGTATACAGGTGTGTCAAAAAGGCCGATCAGACATGACATGTCAAGTCAGGTAAGATACTAGGAACATGGAGAAAATGTTAAAAAAATTATATCTATGAAAATTTCGAAGATATGCGAGTTTCAATTTTGCAAAGGTCAGATAATAAAAAATTTGACAAACAGAATTTTTTAAACATTTTTTCCATGTTCTTGGTATCTACCTCACATGGCATATCACGTTTGTCCGGCATTTTTGACACACTCTGTATATTTTGACGCAATATTCTGTCAATATTGACAAAGTGAGATTAAAATTTAGGAATTTTACAAAACAGAGACACTTGTGAAAAAAATGAAAAATAAACTTTCGCTCTGTTCAATTCAATTATTTGACAACTGACAGTGACGATTTCTTTTTAAACTTAAACAAATATCACAAATCATGGCCTTCTAGCTCAGTAGTGGATTTAAAATTTACATATACTCAACTCTGTCCAAATTGTTTATTACAAAGTAAACAAAAACCACTTTTATCAATGATATCGCTCGTGTTTCACGTTACGAAATCACTGGAAAAACTATATTTTTCCGAAATCGTAAAAAACTGGGTCAAAAAATTCAAATGACAGTTTTGACAGTTTTATCACAGGCGACTCGAAAAGTGAGATCTCACCTTAATCAACTTATACTTCTTCTTGGAAGCCGTATTAAGGTCCTCGTGCACCTTATCCAACAGCCACTGTAAGAACTCGAGGGCGTCGTGTTGCTGATTGCCCTTGTACTGACTCCCATGTCTTTCCACCACTTGCTTGAAGCTGGTGCTGAGCTCGGGGCTGTACTGACAGGCCCACAACGCCTTCAAAAGCAAAGCCAACTGTTCCGTAATCTCGCCCTTCGTCCCGAACTTCTTCGAATTGAGTTTATTCCGTCTCGAAAGGTCAATTTTGTACCGATCTAGAACGAAATACTCTGCCAGGACGTCCGTATGCGAGATGCATTGCAGCACAGCGTTGATAAAGCACGTATTCCCGTGGTTTTTGAGGCCTGTGACGCCGGGCGTGTCGTCGGGGCCCCACGTCTGGAGCCCCACAGGCGGCACGCGCGAGTCGCCGTTGATGACGGGGACGCCCCCGATGTGCTGGGCGATTTTGTTGATGAATTTGCGGATGGACGGCCGTCTGAAGACTCGCTTGTCGTCGGGGTCGGACTCCTTGGGGCGCCGTTTTGCGGTGTTGAAGGGGTTTCGAGGCAGGGTGAAGGTCCGTTTGAGTTTGGAGAGTTCGACGGATTGCTGAATGGGGGAGTCGGGGAGGAGTGTCATCGTGTTGTTGAGTAGGTCGCCAGCTGATGTTGATTTTATCACAAGTGGGGGAGTTTCGCACATAATCACATCATCGGAAAGGGTGACTTTGCACCGAGGACATTACGAGACACACTTATCACAAGACGCGCGAGAAGACACTTGTCAAATGTCAGCCATTTGTCAAAAGTTGAGAACAAGCGTGGGCCAATAAGAATGCAGCACTGACGAGACATCTACTGGCGAATCAACTACCACTGTATCACTGGTTGCAAACATTTTAAATCAAAAAAATTAAATGTTTTAATATAGTCAACTCTTAATACACAAACATTAAATTGTTTTTTTTTCTCGTTGTTACAATTAACTGAACCAAATATTTATAAAAGTCCTAACATTAATAAAAATCAGGTGCTTACTTTAGCAATTATATAAAAATTTAATAAAATTGGTTATATAATTTTTATTTTATAAAAACTATAAAAATTATAAACGGATGAAAGTACAAAAACAAAATTAGTTATAATACAAAACGTAAACTAAAAATTAAATTATTGTATTCTTCGACACTGTCAAAATTTACGGTTTTTCTCCCATGTAAGGAAGTTTTGACAACTGTTTGGCATTTCTCAATACAAAATGTCAAATAATTTTTATCAGATTTAAAGCACGTTTAAGCCTTGTTGACGCTAAATCGAAGAATAAAATGTTGTATTCCACTCGTTTGAGTGTAAATTGGTCGCTTTATTCCACCTCGTGGTTTAAAAATCCACTCGGTCAAATAAAGAGTCCGATTTACACTCAAACTCGTCGAATAAATAACTATTATTATTATAAAATTAATTTACAAATATTTTAGTAAAATATACTCTCACCCTTTTAATTTATAAAATTAAAACCCCAAACAATAGTTTTTTGAAATCTAACAAAAAATTAATGGCTTTATTAAAAGTTTTCAAAACGTTAACACGCATTATTTTTGATTTCGTAGTTCTCATTGAAGTATACAAAATTTACAAATTTTAATAATTAATTTAGGCAACACACTATACACAAGCTATCTGTTATTTATTACTCTTATCAGTCATGGAAAGTAAAATATTTGTATAACAATCTACGCATTAGTCATTTACAACAAAAAAAAGTATAAATTCAAATTAAAACAATTTATAAA